TTACTGATGTAAATTTTGTCTGAATAATTTAAATAAAATCTTGGTTATGGTAAATAAATATATTTAGGACAAAAATCTGAAATACAGGCATGAATGAAGCTGTATGTTACAGCAAAGACTAATTTTCCACTCTTCACAAGAAAATTTTCTCAAATCAAAACGACATACAGTAAAAGTCCAAAAATCCGGACCACCTGAGAATCCGGACTTTTCGAAAACTCAAACTTAACTTTTTTTTTTTTTAGCTGGCTTTTGTGTGCATGCGTGAGCGCCACAGCTGCACAGCGACCACACGGTCGCTACTTTAAAACGAGCAATCAAACTGTGACAACGTATGTAATTTTGAATCCTACTCATTCCATTTACAGAGTACTGTACAAGCCCATAATAATGGCTCCTAAAGTAGATAAACTTCGTTGTGTGAAGAGAAAGAAGAACACTGAAATTGAGTGACAAACTTGAAATAATTAAGAAACTAGAACGTGGTGTGAGCAATACTGTTCTAATGGAAACATATAACATTGGAAAGTCTACAATTTATGATATAAAAAAGGCAAAGAATAAAATTTTAGAATTCACAGCTTTATCTTTAAAACTGCTCTTTTAGATAAATGAAGCATGCTATATTTGCTAATGAATAAACTATCAAAATGTACCTGTTCATCTCTTCTTTATTTCTCCTGAAATTTGAATTTTAAAAGCACTGCCTGAGAATCCGGAAAATCCGAAAATCCGGACCGACCCAATCCCCAAGCAGTCCGGATTTTTGGACTTATACTGTATCTCGCATGGAACTCTATTTATGCATATACCACTGCACATGTACAGTCGGCCACAAGAATAAGCACAGTATACACCTACGATTTGTGTTTGATACAAAATATCTGTATCCAATGGTAGTAAACTTGTTGCTGAAAGGGATTGCTGTTATAGTACAGCTCCCTCCTCCTCCTCCCCCACTTTTTCTCTTACCCTAATTTTTTTTTTACTGAAGTTTAGATTAGTAAAGGAAAGAAGAGGAGTAAATAGAAGAATAAAGAAGGGTAATCAGAAAATAGTTAGAGATAACAGGTGGGGGTAGCTGAGTTTCATCATGCATCTGGATGCACAGTTTCAATGTTACCAGACCATTTTCGAACCTTACAGCTACAGTGTGTATACTTATTCCTGTGGCCAACTGTACAATAAAATGTTAATACTGTACTGTAAGCAAAATAATGTACAGTATACTACTACTATACTGTACTCACCACCAGTAGATGCAGTTGTCTTGAACCTAGAGTAGGCAGACACTGTCCACTCATCTGAATGTAATACTGTATTCATGTCTTAACACTTGCAATGGAGGTGGGGTGGGGGATTAGTGGGTCATGTTACTGACCTGACCTGATGCAATGTCAGGTCACCTATTGTCGGGGAGGGGTATTAGAGGGTCTCATGACCTGAAGATGTCTTCAATATACAAAAGCTAAGGTGTTCCAGTCTTTCCCACTTACTGAATGTACAGTACAGAATGTACAGTACAGTATACAGTAAAAGTAATAGTAATCACTTTTTATGTTCTTAACACTGCTTTAGTAGCTAAACATGATGCAGTTTTTCATAACAATGGGAACCTGTCCCCAGGCCCTGAGCAAAAAAGTTTGGATCGATTTTCTAGCAATTGCACATTATTTCAAAATCGACATTTGCTCGCAGACCCAGAAATAAAAATATGACAGATTTTCCAGATTTTTATTTAGTTTTATTATTATTATTTTAAATGCTCCTGATTTTCACCTTTGAATTTGTTACCAAACCAAGAATTTAGGGAATTAACCATAAAATTTTTTTTTAGCAAATTTCAATTCCGGCTACAGGAGATTTCTGTATATTGACAAGTATGCTTTTTCTCTATGCCACATAAACAAGTAGATTTATTAAGAAACTGTTATCCATTAAAAACTAGGGGGTTCACAGGTAAAACCATATCACTATTTACTGTAAAATATACAGTGGTCCCTCGATTAACGAACACAATTGGTTCCACAGAGTCGTTCGTAATAGAATAGAATTAACAAAACAATAAAAATATAAACTAAATACTGTAATGTACAGTATACTGCACAATAATAAATAAAAAACAATAGAATACTATATTTTAACCTACTTTGAGGTGTGCATGTCGTATTCCCGGCCGCTTTGTTTATATATCAAACATCTGATTGTACGTAGAGGCAGTCGATGATGACATGCCATATTCATTAGAGTGCATTGGTTATAATGCCTTCTTCATGTTTCATAATAATTTCTGCACTGTATATTATCAATATGTGAACTAAATTTCAGAATGACCAACAATTTTAATGTAAAAATGCAAAAATATTCAAGAGACCAACAAAATGGATGCTCACTCCACTGTAAACAAAGTTAAACTGAGAAGTGTTGTTGGGTGATTCGATCAGCTGATTGGCACACAAAAACTGTTCCCTGTACTGTATATATTATCAATACGTTAACTAAATTAGAATGACCAATAATTTTAATATAAAAAATGCAAAAATATTCAGGAGCACAACTTTCTTGATATTTACTCCACTGGAAACAAATGTAAACAGAACCAATTACTGCACTGGCGGACTAGCCGATCAGCTGATGCGCACAACAATGCGTGTTTCACGTAAGGCTTTCGTTAATCGAATTGAAAATCCTTATGGGAGCTAATTCGTTAACCAAAATTTTGTTAATTGGACCATTCGTTAATCGAGGGACCACTGTATTGACAAAATATTGTGTTCCAGATAAAAATATAGACAGCACATGAGGCTTATACAAACCTATAAGTCAATTAAAAATAAAATCCTCCATTCACCATGAGCAATATGATTAAGTTTAATCATGTTAATTAGAATAAAAAAATTTTAAATTTTGCCAAATACTAAATCCTATATTTCTTGTACAGTAGTATCAAATAATGATTAATTTCACATCTGGATATACTTTCAAATGTTTTTCACACACACACACACACACACTTTAAATATATAGTACTGTACTTTAATTTTTTCTTTAAGATAACAAATGAAGCACTTTAACGTGAGGCTAATCATGGACCAAAGCTGCCAAGCCAGACAGCTGTCACACCACAGTTCACATTTAAACAGACAATACATTCCTGGCTTTGTGTTGGAAATCTAATAAAGCAAATCAAAGCGCATGAGAAAAATTTGAATTTCATAAAAAAATGTGCAGTAATTGTAAACTGGCAAAGCAAGCACTGAACATTAATAGACTATCTATGTATATCCCTTTCAAAAAAAAAGAAAAAGTTAGGGGTAATAATATGGCTAATACAATACAGTAAACCCTCAAAATTCTGGACCATTTCCGGGCAAGAAATATTTGTCCAAACCCATAAATATTTGTCATTTGAAATTGCCACCAAGCAGCAATCCCTTGTCCTATTCCTCCTCCTAGACCCGTGAGCAGGTAGTTTATTTCCCCTCTTAGAAAGGACTCGCCCGTAATGCTGCACTGTGATCGGCTATAAGTTCAACACATTCAACCACAGAGATATGCTAAGATCTTAGGTAAAATAATTCAAGCTATGGTGATGATAATCCTCCCAGGAAGGGAGCAGAACACGCACACCTGGCACAGTCCATCTGTCTTCTTTATTTTGAAGTCAAATTATGCATTTACAGTACAGGTATACTGTATTGTATTTTTCTATACTATTAATGATGAAACATACACCAAAATAGGCTGATCACAAGAGAATATAATGAATAAATAAAAACAAACTGGTGAATGAGGAAACAGCCCCCCCCCCCCACAAAAAAAAATCCAGACCCCTTTCCCCCTAAATTGTCCGGACTTTCAAGGGTTTACTGTACTATAAATTATTTAAACTCTTATACATACTGTAAACACATCCATTATTCTTCCACAACATGTGTGACTCATTTCAGTCTTTCAGGAAAAACTAAGGAATAATTTAATAAAATGAGCAACCCAATGTTGAACAGAACAAACTGACACTGGACGAAAAAGTAACTTTGCAATATTTTTTTTTTTTTTAGTTAATTATGACAATGAATAAACATTAATCATTTCTGAAAATGCAATAGCCCCAGATATCCATCAGCAATGCTTGTAATCACAGGTGAAATTTACCCTGTATCTTAAGAGAATGTCATAACAAAATTTATAAACCGCAGACACAATAGCAAAAATAATGAGATTTTTTTTCTCATTCTAAGTACAGTATGTAATATAAATATTTTAGTAAAATCAACTCACATCTTTAAGATAAAATATGTTCTGAAACATATACAGTATTTGTTCAGTTAGGGCTAATTTATGGGAGTATGAGCATATAGTAGTACAGTATGCTGATCTCCCAAGTCTTAGCATTCAGCAGCTTATGAATTACCTACACACTTAAAAGGATGTTAATCTACTAAAAGGCTATTCCACCATCAGTAGGAACACTTAACTATGTACTGTACTTATTTATTCCTGAGTGTTCAGTGAAAAAAAGTTATATTTGTGTTGGTGCATGCAGTACAGCCTCTTCCACTTACAACTGTTACAATTGGTGATGTCAATCCACCCTCTCCATGTGGTGTGAACTGTGGGAGTATCACTTATTCCCAACTTAAGGAAACACCAGAAATGAAAAAGAATCAGCATTCACACAAAGAGGATTGTTTACTAAACATGATGAATCTGTGTCCCAAACTGTGTCTAATGCTGACATGCCCTATACCCCTTCCTCCTGACGTTACGTCACCTTACTGTCCAGTAGACAAGAAATAGATAATCTGAAAAAAAAAAAAAAAGTAACACATTCTACTCATAATTTGTATTTTGTCCTATGTATTTATATCATGCTTAATATATCCTGTGTTGTAACTGCACTGGTAATTGCTTAATTCTCTCCCACCCCTCTACACCCTGACCCTCCCCAACTCCTGTATTACCGTACCACCCACTGGCTCCAGTCCCCCACCCCCTCCTCCTGCACTCGTGAATGCTTTGGATTCAAGAGTGTACACTCCCAGGGTTCACACCACATGGAGAAGGTGGATTAACAACACTGATTGTAACAGTTGGATATGGAAGAGGCTGTACATATCTTTTTCCTTTCAATTCAAATACACCGTTCTTAATTACATATTAAAAAAACATCATCAATAAGTGGATCAATGTTAATATTCTCCAATATGCCAGCTTTAAGGCTTTTTTTCCTGAGTTTTCTTTATTAGAATTTTTTTAGTTTCTGATGGTTTATTCTCATTTTGGAGGTACTTTTTCTGACAGAACGTAATTCTTTTATCTTCATACTGCGTAAAGTATAGGGCTTAGCAGCAATAAGATTATTTGCCCTATCCTTTGAACGTAATGATTGAGATTCAGCCTTTGTCTCCAAAATATTCTTGGAGCTAAACATATTTCCAGTAGAAACTGGTCTGGAGCTCATAATATCTCTGGGAACAAACACTGCCTCATCAGTCAGGTTGTGATTACTATTATCCAAAGATTTTCTAGTGTATTGGTTATCTGTATTTTTGCTTGTGTACATGGGTGAACTTCCACATATATTTTCATCTTCAAGCAATGTTAAATACAGCTCATCTTGCATTTCTTCATCATTTTCTATACTATGTTCTGATACATTGTTTTGTAGCTCAATGTCACTAACATGGATTTCTTTTGGTGAAATTGTTTTAGCCAAAGCTGTTGTTACAGATACTGCTGCTTTACCATGTGCTGTATTGTGCTCCTCAGCAAACTGCTCTTCATTGCTTGTTAAGGAAAAGTCATCAGGAGTCATTTCCTCATCACCTCCACACATCATGCTATTCATTTCTGGTCCAACAGTGACCATCTTGCTGTCTGATACCAGTGGTGAATAAGATGCAGCACCAGCACTCAACACATTCCGAGATATTTCAGTTTCAGTAACCGATGACTCTGAGAGCATATTTTCATCTCTTCTTAATGAATCTGATGTACTGGATGGTGGTAAAATTGTAGATGATGCCACATTAGCATCAATGGTATTTAGAATATTTGATGAAAGCTGTACTTCATCCTCAATTGTAGGGTTCAATGTAGGATCCTGCTGTTTTTTACTTTGCACTGTATTGTTACTTTCATCAATTGTTAAGTGCTTCTTCTTTCTTGGGAAGTATTTTGTTAGAGGTTTGAGGATGTGTAATACAACAGGAACACTCCATGATTTCCCTAGTAGAGTTTGTCTCTCTTTCGGAGTTAGATTACCAACATCGGTGTAATGTTGTGGGAATCCAAAGATCTGACAAAAAATAAAAAAAATAGCAAGTCTGAGCATTTCATTCCCAAATTCAGTTCAGTAAAACTATTGCAAGAAGAAAACACAAACGCACTCAACTAAAACCTGGCAATACGTATTAACTCTCCAGAAACATTAAACAGTCTATATAAAATATAAAAACAAGCTTAGTTTGTTTCCATGAAAATTATATTTCTTAATGTTTAAGGATGCAGTGTTAGTCTCAAAAAAAAAAAAAAAAAAAAAAAAAAAGAGGAAACCCCAGGAATGCACTGTCCTGTCACAACAAAAAACCTCCATGTAGTATAGACTATAATATTCCAATCAGCTAATTCTAACTTTCAAAATAGTAATTAATATCTGGAAGATGAACAGATATCTCACACCAATAAGGTTGCAGAAAGAACAATGGTGAGTAGTACATAAATGGCACAACTCAGCAGCTCTTGTCTTGAATGGCAACAGCTATTTCTGATAACTGCTTTACTGAGTTCTGGTTTCAATTGGAAGTTCCAACTAACTACTGTACCTGTATTATCTCTGACTGCTATTTGATGGGTCTTCTGGGTATTGGCCATGTAGATTTAACTTGTGGTATAACAAGAGTACTTATAAGGTAGTTTATTATGAAACTAAACAAAGATGTGTCAAGAGAACATTAATTCAATCACATCGGCCTACAATAGCTTCCTCCTGGGACCTATTAAGGATAAATAAAATTGAAGGATAGAAATGAAAAGCTAATGGACAGAGGCAATAAAATAATATACATGCATAGATTTTTTTTAGAGTATAAATATTATGTACACTCTCCTCCAAAAAAATATCTCCCCCCCCCCTCCCACCCCAGGCCTTGATATATTTGGAAATGAACACAGTAACATGTACACAGCAGTCTAGGTTCGGATGGTATTTCTGAATGTGAGCTGCACTTTCGTTCTTTCTTCTTGCACCTGATAATCACCATGATATCTGCAGTATACCACCTATTGTCTTCATAATGTATTGAAATAGGGTGAATTGTGATACCATATGCAAAACCAATAATGTCATGAGTAACTCTGCTGATTTATGTACCTTGGATACTATATCAGCCCCGGAGGATGGGTTGCCAAATGGGAATATAACATTACTATGTTTTCATGAACCGAGGTTACAATGGAATCAATTCAAACGAAATATGAAACACTATGATCCGATACACTGTATTACATTCTTTGCAAATACAGTAAAACCTTGATAAATATAAATATAAATATAAATATATATATATATATATATATATATATATATATATATATATATATATATATATATATATATATATATATATATATATATATATATATATATATATATATATATATATATATATATATATATATATATATATATATATATATATATATATATATATATATATATATATATATATACATACAGTCGACCCTCGTTAATTCGGACCCCTTTAATCCGGATTTCGGATAAATCGGACGAAATCTGAACTGTCCATATCAAATTTCTGGTTCTGGGATTGTCCCAGTTGCAATTGGGGTTGCAATTTCAAATTCTGTGTCACTACTAAGAAATAACAAAGTCCCTGGTGCACTCTAAGATTAAGAGAAAACGGACGACTCAGGCGTCCTGAAGTGAGAGAAAACGGACTCCTATGACGGGGCACTCAAATAAAGAGACATGGCTACATGTTTTGTGGACTACCCACTTTACAGTATCCTTTTCATCACTTTGTAATAAACCTCGTTATGCCTATGTGTTTCTGAGAATTATCATAACATTATATATTTATATATTTAGCGGTTGTACAAACACAAGGCCTCACACATGCCATTCAGACTGACAGACTTGACAAGTTTTACCAACCATAAAGACAGTTGAAGCTTTAAACACCACTCACAATGGATCTTGAATATTCCAACTGTAATCAGACATACCTAAGTTGCCTCAACAATTGCAACCCCAGTTGCAATATCAAATTCTGTGTCACTACTAAGGCATAACAGTCTCTGGTGCACTCTAAGATTAAGAGAAAACGGACGACTCAGGAGTGCTGAAGTGAGAGAAAACGGACTCCTATGACGGGGCACTCAAATAAACATACACATAGCTGTATAATGCAATATTAACCCCTAAATTGGTTAATTCGGACAATCGGCTAAAACGGACACCCTTCCCCCCCCCTATTAGTCCGTTTTAACGAGGGTCGACTGTATGTATGTATATGTATGTATGTATGTATGTATGTATGTATGTATGTATGTATATATATATATATATATATATATATATATATATATATATATATATATATATATATATATATATATATATATATATATATATATATATATATATATATATATATATATATATATATATACTGTTGTGTATTTATAATCACTTAATAAATGCTATTGCAGTGCATTTATCATCACTTAATAAGTAATATTGTAGTGTAAAGTATTATGTATCTGTATATACCCTGGTTTATTCATTAATCATTTGTCTAAGTACAAGTATCCAAACAGAGTCATCATCATATAACACTCAAAGGCAGTAAATAATGTTTTTAAAAAGGTATCTTAATATCAAATACTTTACAGTGTTATAGTGATCCCTGTTGTAAGCTGGTCTATTGAAATCTTACACGAACGCATCTGAGTAAACAACCTTCTGATACAGCTTATCCTTTTATTTTCAAGTCATATTTCAAATTACATACAGTAATATATTTTTCTCTATTTCTGAAAATGCTATATCAATCTTGATAGAACCATACGAGGCCAATTATATGAGAATTCAATACTGAATAAATAAATAAATAAGCCTGACGAATGCAACAATGCCAGATCAGCCCAGCCTGCTTACATACTCAAGTATATTAGTTCTCAGTAGGCCTAGAGCAAATGTGATTAGACCACTGTACAGTATTCAGTAAGTGTGGTTCATTTCATCAAATTTTTTTAAATTTAATCCTCCCCATTTCTTATTTTATTTTATTTATTTATTTTTATTTGTTTTTATTATTTCTGGTGACCAGAGCATCTCAATAGTTCGAAAAAAGCGAATTCTGATACATTGAAGTCCGATTTATAGAGGTTTTACTGTATAGTAATAACAGGCATATTATGATGCTATATACAATTACAAAGACATTATAATTTACTGCATTTCAATATTATTTCTACCTCAACTGATGAGGTAACAAATTTGAATATAATGTATCATCTCATGATTTGTGATGGCAATGGAACATTATCTGATACACACTAAAAGATGATTTCTGTCGGTGCAAGCTGTATTTTCAATGAGTCTCGGGTACTAGTGTTGGTCGTGGATTTCCAACAGAAAACAACAGCTATTTGACTGCCGCTGATACATTTTCACTACATTAATATCATTATATTAAAGATGGACAACAGTGAATTGATTCACCATAATCACAACAAATGCTAGAAATAACAACTGGCAACCTCAAAGATACTCGGAAGGCAGGCCTACCAACACAATGCACGAATCACAATTAGTGATCGGAAATATTCGTCCATTGTGACGCATTAAATTGATGAGAAAGGTGCCGATACTTTTTTGGGAGTGTACATAGCATGCTTTCAACAAATCGGTAAGACAGTAAAGCTCTAATACTGCAAATAAATTCTTGATACAAAGGATTCCATATCAAGGGAACAGTAAATAATATGTCACATTCATGGAACAATCAAGGTAAGAGCAGATATCCCACCTTTTCGATCTCTGTGCTCCATGGTACGTCACCTATATCATTCATACGAATAGGCCATTGTGATAAACCACCAAGTTTCAAAGAGGCAGAATTTGTTGTAACACAGTTGATTTTCTTCACCACAGCTTTACGTCCACTGATCTGTTGGAATATTGTATAATATTAACATTTTTAAGATAAAATTTGTAGCAAAAGAATAAATAAATAAACAAACTATATACAGGGAGGTTTTCATTTTATGGCAGGGATGTGTTTCAGAGAAACAAAAATTATGGTGAAATATTTTATAATAAAATTTTACCACAAAAATGAATGTATAATTCGGGATATATGCGCTTCAACATGTACAGTTATACCTCTTGAAAGTCCAGGATGTGTTCCTAGAGAAAGCTTTCAACAAATCAGGTCATTATAACATACAGTACTGTACTAGTAGTGATGGATTGGATGTGAAATTTTGACATACACAGATGTGGATGTGACATCAACCTTTAACACACACACACAAACACTGTACACAGTAAAGCCTGATATAACAGACTATTTTGGGGGAAAGCCAGTCCTTTAAATACTTGTGGAGTAATGGTGTTTTGCTGGCTGGGTTGCGTGTACCCAATTACCCTCCTTGCAAATATTTATGGCACTTGATACATCTTGGAATTTTGGTATATACAGTATTTTAAATACAAACATACTGTATATTTTTATATGCTTATATGTTTCAAAATACTAAATCCAGTAGGTGCATCATGTGCCATAAATATTCATATACTGTATAAGCAAAGTAAATTTTCAAATCACAGTCTGTATAGCAGGCCAGTGTAATGATTGTTTATCAGACCACAGCTTACATCCCAGAGAAATACAACACATATAACAGTAAGCAAATAAGCAGGTGTACACCCATAAGTTGACATACCCTACAGTGACAGCAAGGCCTGTCCCAGGAGGCAAGGCCACAAAGTACTTAAGTTAACCGTCCGATATTACCGTGTTAAGGAAACCACACCTTGCCAAGACAAACCCGGGCGGTAATAATTAGGAAGCCTTACCAACCTGTGACATGACAGCGCACCTGGGCAAACACAGCTGTCCAGATCTAACCAGCTTAGTGTTAATTGGGAGAGGTCATCTGCCAGCTCTCCTCCAATATAAAGGCCCTGCAGCCCCTTCCACGGGTCATTCATCGTCATTCATTCAGGCATTACTTCAGACTTCACTTTCACGTTACTATCGACAGAGGACAGAGTCACGCTCGTCCTCCCTCAGGTTGGGAGGGAGACTTCCCTCCCCAGCACCGCATCACAAGCTTAGCAGTCTCCCATAGGAGACAGTCCAGAAGCACCTAACGGGCCTTCCTTAGGTCACACGTGAGTCATTGTCAGAGCTATCCATAGGGTGAGTTACTTACGGTGGGAAGTGTATCCATTTTATGTTTGTGTCCGAGAGTCAGCATCTAGTAACGTAAATATAATGTTCGAGTAATGTGTCCATACCATTCAGTTAATTAATTAATAGTTGTATTGAAAGCGGTGTTTACAAAGATTTCCCCTAAGAAGGTATTTACAGTTAAATAACTAACCGGCCACGCTACCAAACTTCCTCTCTTCACATTCCTATAACTAAATATTCTATCTATACTTTCTACCTCTAAATCCCCCCATTACACCAGCCACCCACTGCAATGTTGCCACATTCTTTTATCTTACAGTACAGTACTTTTATCTCCCAAATAACTCAATAAAATAGTGAGATTCAAAACTTAATCTATCATAAAAATGATACATGTGTGGCTAATGTTAATTTGCCAAGCCAATCTCCATAAAGCAACCAATTACATTAAACTGTGTGTGGTTGTGGACTAAACTGATGATTCGCCAGCTATGTGGCCGTGAAGGTGACAGCAGTGCACAGAATATAATGTCAATAGCACATCCGGCAACTACGCTGGTAAGGCCAATTTCAGTTTAAATACGCACCACACAACCACCTCTGCTGTAAGTTTACTTTATCCTCTTTGCCACTGATTATCAAGTTGATTTCAGCAGAGAATATTTAGGAAAAACATTGAAGGCATAAAAAATAAAAAATAATACATGTTGCTACTGTTACATACCGTATAATGAAACCATAAAAGTTGTGGAAACATCATTTCAATACTTTAATGCGACTTAGAAATAAAGTACTGTATATACGTATATAATATACAACAATAAAATAAGAAATATGAAGAGCATGGGTATGTATTCTGTGTCTCTAAGATGCAGTGTAACTCTCCAGCGCCACCGCAGAGATCCCTCGCGTCAGTTGTGGAAATTGTCAGATGCATGTACACAGCCTCCCTTACTCCCCATGCAACCGGTGGAGGGGCGAAGGCCACATTGTTTAAACCCGCATATTTTAATGGTTTACTGTAGATATATGCTGATTGCATCCAGGTCTTTCACCAATTCCTAACATGGGTATTATCCGCTCACAGGCAGGGGTACCATGGTTGCAAGCCAGTCTTTGTTGCCTGGTTCTCAACAAATACAAAAATACATATAAAAGCAGTGTCAGTCTTTTTTCTTTTTTAATGATATATACAGTATACAGTGGACCCTCGATTAACAAATACAATTGGTTCCACAGAGTCGGTTGTTAACTGAAAATTTTGTTAACCGAATCTATTTTTTCAATGGGATAATGGATAATTGGTTCCAACTCACAGAAAAGTACATACAAAGTACTGTATACCGGTAATAGAATTAACAAAACATTAAATATAAACAAAATACAGTACTGTACTGTACAGTATACTGCACAATAATAAATAACAAAACAATAGAATACCCTGTACTGTACTTTAACTTACTTTGAGATGTGTATGTTGTATTCCTGGCTGCTTTGTTTACATGGCAAACAGCTGATTGTAGAGGCAGTCGGTGATGACATGCCATATTTTTTACAGAGTGCATTGGTTCTAATGCCTTCTTTGTATTTCTTAATAATTTCTGCACTGTATATTATTAATATGTTAACTAAATTTCAGAATGACCAACAATTTTAATGTAAAAATGCAAAAATATTCAAGAGACCAACAAACTCGATGTTTACTCCACTATAAACAAAGTTAAACTGAGAAGCGTTGGCGGGTAATTCGATAAGCTGATGGGCACACAAAAACTGTACCCTATACTGCATAAAATTATCAATACGTTAACTAAATTTCAGAATGACCAATAATTTTAACATAAAAAATGCAAAAATATTCAAGAGCACAACTTTCTCGATATTTACTCCACTGGAAACAAATGTAAACATAAAACCGATTACTGTATTGGCGGACTGGCCGATCAGCTGATGCGAACACGAAAGCGTGTTTCTCGTAAGGCTGTTGTTAATAGAAGTTGTACGTACTCATTAATAGAACTAAAAATCCTTATGGGAGCTAATTCGTTAACCGAAATCGCGTAAATTTTCCCACCACACACACGTACACTCTTAGTCAGGCTTATATTAAAGAGCGAGCTCAGCAGCTTCTTCAGGGGAGAGAAAAGGTCGCCTACATGACATGCTGCAGGATTGGGTCAGGCGGTATCTGATGCATGATTCTGTTATGTGTAGCAGTGCTCCTGGGCTGGCAGTGTTGTCAAAACATATGTCTAGAGTTGCTTGAAACACTTCATAAAAATCAAACTATTAATACCTAGTACAGGGTACAGCAGTACCATGAGGTACTGGTAACATTTCATCATGGATATATCCATGATCGGCACCAGCCAACACCTATTGTTTATCACGGGTACTGTATATCTGTGATTGACGCACAGCAATGTAAATAAGCTAATCTGTGGTAGTGTAATATGCTGGCTGCTGTTTTGAACAATTGTGCCTCACTGCTGATATGGATGTCCAAATAATGGATTCCATTTGAGTAACGATATTGCTGCGGCTTAATTAGTTCGGTATTTGTTTTTTTCACTGTATTCTGTTTCCATAAAACCTTGACATAACATCTTTTATATTATGAAAACTACACATTATAATATCTAGTGAAAAGTATTTAGTCTTAAAAATTCATCTCCATCACTTATACCATACTGATGAGTATTCTTCCCCCAGTCTTCAAAGCCATACAAATGAATTACCGGCACCGTACATTGATTGACTGACTAGATAAAATATCTGGCATCGCAGCCTGTGGCTATTTGCTACCAAAAATGAAATTCATAATTCAAAAACTATGATGTAAATAAAATAAAATCCATTTAAGTTTAAATATCAAAATTAAAATCCCATATCTATTTAAAAATCATAAATGGTAGAGCACTACTTCTACTGCAATTAAACTTTTAAAGGCCACCATCAGGTACATACTTAACTCCTCTTGCTTAGCACCTTTGAGATGGAGTAGAAACCATCCTCCTGCCGGCGCTTAGCCAGAAAACGACCCCACTTGAGAAATAAATTGTTCAACAATATAATTAACATATTCACCTTGAGAAGACAGCGACTCAAATCTTGATCTTTCTCCATCTCTGGTGGGAAAGGTCTGCGCATTCCTGAAAGAGATGAGTTATACACTGAACAAGATTTATGATGTATAATGGACTGTACAGCAAAAAAGTCAATTGCCTTGGTGGATTTGGCTATTTGTGAGGTTCTTGTTGCATCAAAAACCCTCTCGTGCATGAAGATGCAATTCGCGTCATATTCATGATAAGACCAACTTCGAGGTGACGCAAATTGAGTCACCAAACTTTAACAAATTCACCAAAAATTAAGTTTTCAACAGAATTGTCATAGTAGCAAGTAATTTCTATCAATAAACTAATTGGCAGCTCTTGAGGCCCATAGGAAGGGAAGACCAGAACGATAAATGCACAGTATTATCTCAGCAGTCAGACCGTGAGTGTGAGCCGTGTCAATTTAAATTTTCATAACTCCTGGATTACAGTGCTTACCCTACTCCCCGAAATAATTTCTTTTTAGTGTTAGAGAAGTAAAGTGATGGTTGTGTAATGTAATAGTTTTTTCATATTTACAGGGAAGATATTTAGTTTTCGAAAGTAATTACCGTATCAGGCAATACAATCTCATTATGGTGACAATGTCTCTGAAAGAGGATGATTTTCTTGACTTACACAAATTTTATCAGTACCATTCTCTTCGTTTTAAAGTTGGCTATAAGATGCAATATAATTTATATCAATATAAAACATAGGCACAAAAACAATTGAAAAAAAAAAAGAAGAGAATTGATTTTTGCTATTTTCTAAAAAATTAGTGGTCATATCAGAAATCTGATCACTGCATTGGAAATCTCACAAATTTCTGCTTCTTGCAGTGGATAGTACTTAAAAAGTTGGCAAAGACAATTTTGAGCTAGGAGGTTGTGAACATATTGGTGTGTATTTTTTTCATGTTTATTAAAGTGAAGAAAAAAATTGCTATATACTTGTATTACTTATTTTCTTGTTTATGTTACAGATAATTCAGTTACAAAGCCAAAAATATTTGGTTTATGCTATCAAAAACAAGTTTTTGGGGGAAATCGAAAAAATAAAATAAAAAATAAATCACCGTGTGCTGTCTTGCTTGCCCTGGGGGCATTGGAGATGTGATCTTGGAACCAGAAAACTTAAAACTTATCTCGTGCATGAGAGGGTTAAGAACCTTTACCATTTATCAAATTACTTCACCACTTATCAGGTTACTAATCATTCAGGCAGTTGGTCTGCTCTTTGTTATGAACTTTATTGTCCAGTGTTAGTACATAAAGAAACTTGTCATGTTTGGTCAAATTACATTGGATAACACCCTTCCCACGTCTGTCCTGGGCCAGGACTCAAACCCAGGACACAGTGCCCGAAATGTTTGCTTCAATGTTGTCATTCCAATATTAATTTTAAGATAATAACTGGAGAATTCTTAGGTTAGTTTCAAAAATGTTCTGTAAGTGAAGGTATCTAGAAATTCAACTTAGTACTGTCTTGTATATTCAAGGAGAAAATAAGAAGGGACAAGCAGGAAGAGTGAAGTCAGTAATAATAAGTAGAAGAATTTATAAGTAATACCCCCATTAACTGGAATCCCTCAAACCCGGAACTCTCCAATAGCCAGAATTGAAAAGACTTTCAAAATAGCAATTAAATGCCAGGTAGATGTTTTAATTGCCTGTATGATGGCCTGGCGAATTGGCTAGGAATTAACATACCTAGGTAGCATTGCTGATCGTCGCATTCGAGCTATATCACAAAAACTGATTTTTAGAAAAAAATGGCTTTTTCTGGGGCACATTTTCTTGAAAACTCCAATAAAATTTCCCCAGTACTTGTACTGCACCCAGAAAATTACAGGGATGGAGTTTTTTCCCCAAGTTTGAGAGATGAAAATCAGGCGCATTTTCTGGCACCCTGAAAATTCCGGAGATGTGGATATTTTTCTTGGTTTGAGAATTAATCTAATGCGCAATTTCTTGAACTTCCAAGAACACTTTTGTTACCCGGAAAATTTCGTGGATGAGGGATTTTTTTCCCGGATTTGAGACGAAATACTGTATCATTTAGGAACTACAGGTTGTACCTCTCTAGTCCGGCAACCTCGGGACCTGACCGGTGCCGGACCATGGAAATTCACCCTTTTCCTGGATAGATAGTGACTTGTGCTTATGCTTGGAAGCACTAGCACCACTTTCTCAGCATCATGGTCTCTTTGAAGACATATTGAAGGGTTAAATGTTGTATAGTAGCTTCTCAAATTTCGCGACTTTTTAATTCTTAATGTATTTTATTGGAACACAAAATAATAAAAATAATAAATAAAAAATTTTGACGGCGGAAACTTGAATTTCGACGGGTTTGGACGGCCCGCCAACGTGCATAATCGTGTAAACAGCATCATTTCTCTTATGTACAAAAGATTCATTATTGTTTATTACTGAATGTCTTTTTTATTGAATTAATGTTTATGTGTGCAAAATGAACAATACAATTCATTAATAATACGTAGAATATTAAAACACACGAGGAAATGAGACAGCATTGTTTTCGTTGATTACAAAACCAGTGACTGACTGGTTCTACATACAGTATTACCCCGCCTAACGCGGTTTCACTTAACGCGTTTTATCATATACGCGGTGCCTCGCCAGAGCTGAACTTTCACTTAACGCGGAATTTTTCATCATATACGCGGGAAGCGGCGCGGGAAGCGGCGCGGGCACGATGCGCACAAGGTCGCCCAGTCATCAAAACATTACCGAGTTCTTCACCCGCCACCCACCACAGCCGGCCCAAGTCAGTGATAGTGATAATTATAGTGAGGATATGGACTTATATGGCCTTTGAGGGGTTTGACAAAGAGGCCCTGCAAGCCTCTGTAGTGGATAGTGATACAATTGATACAAGTGATACAGGTGAGGGCCAATAATCTGCCCTCTGCCTCGGAACCAACCCCCCATCCCCGTGTGCCCAGCCATCTTTTCTACTAATGCAAGTGTTAAAAAACCTAATATTATTGATATTTCTCTTAATTATTAATTGTGTGTGCATACCATCATAAAGTTAAGATAAAATTTTTACTACAACATAGTTGTGTGTCGTCAAAAAGTGGAGTTTGGGGGTCGGGCCAGTCTCTATTGGAATTAATCCCATATGTTCTGTTGTTCACTTAACGCGGTTTTCACTTAACGCGGTACCCTGTGGGTTCAATTGACCGCGTTAAGCGGGGTACTACTGTATAAAACTGAAGAAAATAAGACCTTGTCTGTAGCTATAGTAAAATTAATATGGCTGTTTTAAGTAATGTTATTTAATGTTAATAAATGGAACAATAGAAGTAGCTAACGATAATGGTAAAGAAAAAAGAGAGATCTCGTATGTAAGTGCGCATGCGCACACGTGAAAAGATATCGTCATTACTTTACATAAGAATATGAAAGCAACACTTATTTACTGTTCATATATATTTTAATTAATGTTTCTGAATTTGTTTTTATTGAATTAATGTTTGTGTGTGCAAAATTAACAATACAATTTATTAATAATACGTGGAATATTAGAGGAGACGAGACGGCTGCCGGCATTGTTTATGTTAAAGCTTACAAAACCAGTGACTGATTGGTTCTACATATAAAACTGAAGAAAATAAGACCCTGATTTTAGCTGTAGTAAAATTAATGTAAAAAAAAAAAATATGGTTGTTTGAAGTACAGTGAGTTCTGCTATAACGCGTGTTTTGATAACGCGAATTTGCTCTAACGCGATTTATGAATTAGGAACAATATTTGTATAACGCGAACGCTTGTTTGCTATAACGCGATTTTTGCTTACTATTTCTCCAATTTTGTGGTATTAACTGTGAATATGGTAAAGAAGAATATCTCCAAAAAGCGTTCTGGTGATAGAATTCCCGGTGATGATCGTAAAAGAAAGGATATAACACTTAAAGAGAAGCTCGATGTTATCAACCTCAAAATCACCCTTCTCCCCCATCAAGTTACATTCATATTTTGTCAAGGTAAAGTATTACATTTACTGTATGATTTCATTATTAGATATGAATGTAACATTTATTTAGACTGTGCTATCCTTTGTGTTAGGCTAACTACTAAATTTTTTCGATTTCGAGTAATCTGCACCTAACCCTATTTTCTCCATAAGCCCTGTTATTTCTATTACGCGATTTTCTATAACACGATATTTTACAAGAACACAATTATCGCGTTATAGCAGAACTACCTGTACCTGTAATGTTATTTAATGTTAATAAATGGAACAATACAAGTAGCTAACCATTAATGGTAAAAAAAAAAGTGAGACTGCGCGTATGTAAGTGCGCACATGTGAAAACATATCGTCATTACTCTACATAAGAATATGAAAGCAACACTTATTTACTGCTCATATATATTATATATATATTGAAGGGTTATATGTTGTACTCTGTGTAGACAAACTAAAATCGTTCCGGACCACGGGAGTTTCCGGACCACAGAATGCCGGACTAGAGAGGTACAACCTGTATTGAGAAAATTTTTTCATCACCCCGAAAATTTGGGGATGAGAGATTTTTTCCCGGCTTTGAGAAAGTTGTCTCGTTACCAGAATATCTCTCATTCCCGGAAGTGCTCCGCACCATCTGTTCCGGCTAACGGAGATATCACTTATATGGTGATCACTCAATAAAAATGAGGAATTTGATATTGCATGTTGGTCCACCTAATGCTGATCCTACACTGAAGTGTTCAAGAGCAGAACCAAAATTGGTAGAAAAACTTTTCTTTTTCAATAAATTTTTTTTCTTTACATGAAAACGGATAACTCTACCATCAAAATACTGTTTTATCCAAATATCACACACCTGGTATGTTGCCCCAGAAATATCTTGGTCGTCTTTGAGGAGAGCAGTACTTTGCATCAATCTTGACAGGTTCTTTCTCAAGGAATCTAAAATAATTAAAAAGGCCCTGTAAACAAGCACCACTCCTTAACAACAATAAAAAAAAATTATACATATGTACAATATCAATTAAAAGTAGCAACCAAGAGAACCGTGTCATCTCAAATCACTATAAAGAAAGATCAAATACTCGAGCACCATAGGCTGGACCCAAAAGACAACAAAATCAAGACTCAATGTATTGAAAAAACCCGTCCCAAGAGAGATGCATTCATGCACCTAACCTTCCCTAATGACTGAAATTCATAACTCTTATGCCAGGAAATTTGCCTTCATAACAATTATAAATTTTTAAAGTTATAATTAATTAATCTCCAAAGGAAGGAACAGTCACATTAAACTATGAGCCCTCCTACTGTTAGGGAAAGACAGACTAAACCCCCACATTATTGAACCTTCACTTCCCATGACACATATGAACTATCCACTGTCAGCTTAGTTGCAATAAGACTGAATATTGACAGTTCTTTAATATATATAATATAAACTTTATAATCAAATTCTGGATAAAAAAAAAATATATATATATATATATATACTCAAATTATTTGCTATCTTGCAAGGATTCCAGCAATGAAAGTTATATTCTGCTAAGTTTAGACTGTGACATTTTATAAGATAAAAACTGTAAGCCTAAAATTAGCTTCACCCTGGCTGGGAGGAGGAGTTGAGGTGTTGACAGCCAGACGTGGGGGGATTACCCAGTGCGTAGTTATCAGTCATATAGAGGGAGTTTAAGGTTTTTGCTTATAAAATGTCACTTAATTGAATTGGCAGAATATAACTTACACTGCTGGAATTCTTGTAAGATAGTGATTAATTTGAGTATAAAAATGCAAAAATTTGGACTAGACATAAAATTTTTAGTAATTATTTAGTACATTTGAGTACAGTACAGGTTTGCCCTTAGGACAATTACTTCTTTTACTTTTTTACAATACACTGTATGTATTTAGGATGAAATATGCATGTAAACGAGTAAAAAAAATGAAGAAAGCTACGTATATCTACTCAAAAATATGAGTTGAAAAGCTTGTACTTAAATGTACTACACTAAAGGACTAAAATTTTTATCTCTTGCAAACTATAGGATGTTTATACTCAAATTATTTGCTATCTTGCAAGGATTCCAGCAATGTAAGTTATATTCTGCTAAATTTAAAATTAAAATTTAAGGATCATTGTGGGGCTGCTTATTTGCTCAGTGGCCCCCAGAACCCCCACTTGGTAAAAGTTAGGACAAGTACCAAAATTGTCTGGACTTTCGAGGGTTTACTATATGTTCTATTTTGCCTCAGGCCAAATCTCACATCAGACATACAATTATCCTCTGAAAGATAAACAATTTACATGCCATGGAAATATAGTACAGGTACCACAATACTGTTTGGGGCTGGTCCCATAAACTCTCTAACAAACCAGCAAACTGGAGCACTCAGCAAAGCAAGCAATTTATATTGTAATGTAATTTATACTATGCATAAAACTACTAGTTAGAATATGTGAATGCAGTACACACTTAGCTGTTTGCACCACCAAAGGTGGTGTAGACCAAAATTATTAATGGGTGAAGCTGCAACTAAATCTGAGGTGGAAATGCTTTCAGCCAATGTCAAGCAAATTAATAGTTCAGTGCATATGTGTTCATGCTCAGCAGTAATAAATTTCATTCAATCTCCCACTTTTATGGTACCTTCATGTCAATAGATGTCCTTAAGGAATATTGTACTGTTTAAAGCAGAAAAATAAATTATTTCCATAATTGATTAATTTTCTAAATTCCAGGGACACAAGTTGGGACCTAGAGAGTCATCCCTTTAAGCTTGCTGGCTATACTAGTTAAATGATGCTAAGGAAAAGTTATATATGAAGTTGACTCCACAATCCATCTTCCTCAAACTATGAGGGTGAAGTTCATAATTTGTTTTGCATGCTGGTTAATTACTAGTCTACTTTATACGACCAGAAAAACAACGTACATGTTGATATGCAACTTGATTTCTTGAGGCATATTTGAAACATTTTCAAATAACCAGAAGAGATGAGTGTTGCCATTGACAGCTTGAATAGTTTTCTGGACACGGAAAAAATGAAAGAAAAGAATTCCACTACCAGTAGGATCTGAAAAGAAGTCAAGTCCATAAATCAAATATGTAACACAAAATATCCTACAAAACTAAAACAATTCAGTTCCATAAAATACAATAAACAGCAAGTGTACTGTATTCTCCACATTTTGTACTAATAAAAATAACTATCAAAGTGCAAGTCACAAGATACAGGTAATTTCATGAGAAGACCTTAAATACTAGATCAATATTAATAAGAGTATATCTGAGTAATACAAGATACTTCCAGAGTGTTTATCAAACTGAATAAGTGGTAAATGAAAATGAAAGACATAGTAAATTTCCTTTTTCTAGAGGAGCCTGTCGTCAGGTGGCTCTTGTTAGATGGGGGCAAACTTCCAAAGGATCCTTGGGCATATTGGCTGTGCTCCTAGTGTCTGCCATAATTAATCTAATAGTACTACAATGTATTATCTAACCGACAACCCTTCCTCTGCTGTACAGCAGGGAAGATTACACCTGGTTTAAAAGTAGCCAAGAACAGGCTCATCATCTTCATCTGAAGCTGAAACCCATGAACGTCTATCATTCAGAGAACCCGTCATTTCGCTGTCCAACCAGGTGTGGATGTTGACAGCGCAGATCCAGAACTACATCATCCAGTACCCCTCCAACATGTGCAAGAAGTATTGTGACAAGAACATATGGTCATAGACAATGCCCCTGTAAATCCACCCACTATGGGAGCGTGGTTAAAACACTCAAGGTGAAACTCCAACCACTTAACACCACCTCACTCCTCCAACCCATGGATCAAAGCATCATATACACTTTCAAGGCCTACTATCTCGGGCGGATGATGAGGGAACTTGTACAGCAGACTGAAGACAACAGGAACAGTATCAAGGAGTTCTGGAAGAATTACAACATCAAGGCCATTGATCACACCAATGAATCTTGGAAGGAAGTGTCACATTAAACTATGAGTGGTGTGTGGTCCAAGATTTGTACTTAGTCCCTGCGCTATTTCTTAGGATTTGCTGATGTGGGAAAACTGCAGCAGAACATCATCAACCTTTATTCAAGACATCTTCAAAGGCAACTGTATAAATACAAAAGCTAAGGTGCTCCAGTGTTTCCCTTTTCCAGTGTGATCTTATCAAGATTTATCTTATCCACGTTTCCAGTGTGGATATATATTATAGGGTGATTCAGCAAAGAGTACATTAAATTGAAGGATGAAATCCTTGGATAATTCTAAACCACAATATTTCTCTGGTAAAATGTCAGATTCTGCATATGCCCACGTGTTCGTGACAGATGCGAGCAAATTAAACATAGTCCAAGCATTCTGGAAAGCGTCAGACAATCAATGGTTCAACGTGTACAGGCCTGCATTGAGGCAGAAGGGGGCAGCTTTGAACATTTCCTTTAGGTTGTAACAAAGAGGGGTCACACTGTAGAGATGTGACGAAATTATTACAAAAACCTACGGGGATTTCACTTCAAATTCACTCTCATTAATACATCTTAAACATCTTAAATGTATTGTAACATATGAACTATACAGAATCTGACACTTTACCATAGACATTGTGGTTTAGAAATATCCAAGGATTTCATCCCCCAATTTAATGTACTCTTCGCTGAATCACCCTGCATATACTCCCCCGTTTACGGAAAGGTTCTGTTCCTGGACCCTATCTGTAAGCCGAATTTTCTGAAAACCAAAAATGACCCTTTCATGAGGTAAACATGTACTGTACTGAATCACAGATGGCATATCACAAGGGGAGATGATCAGCTGCCTTCTGCATATCCTCTGCAAATAGTGCTGTTAAGCCGTACCAGTTACCTTCCGTAAGAACAAACTTTTGCACAACCCAAATTTTTTTATAATGGGACTTATGGGAGGCATTCTGTATCCCCAAATTTCTGTAAATTGAGTGTTCTGTGTGTGTGTGTGTGTGTGTGTGTGGGGATTTTTACCCTCTTTTCAAAAAAAACAAAAACAATAAAATTAATGAAAAATGCAAACTATATTCTTTAAATACTGTTTATGAATGCACCTTATACAATATAAATTAATAATAACATGGTCACAAAAGAGGAGATGGGATGCCATTGTTTTTGTTAGTGTTTGCACCCGGGAGTCCGGGGCGATGGTTCTACAAAAGAAAATGAAGAAAATAAGACCCTGGTTGTAGCTGTTTTAAGTAATGTTAATAAATGGAACAATAGAAGTAGCTAACCACTAATGGCAAAGAAAAAAGCGAGATGGACTGGGAACGCCTACATATACATGTGCATTCAAGGAAACAGTGTCATTTATCTTAGTAAGAATATGTACAAAAGATTCATTATTGTTTATTACTGAATATGTACTGTATTTGATTGAATTAATCTTTATACAGTATATGCAAAATGAACAATACAATTCATAATACTATGTAGAATATTAAAACACTAGAGGAAACAAGACGGCATTGTTTTCGTTAGTGTTTACACCCATAATGTTAGTTATCCACCTGTAACTGAAGAAAATAAGACCCTGGTTGCTGTTGTAGTAAAATTAACGTAAAAAATATGTGGTCCCTCGGTTAACGAACTCAATTCGTTCCAGAGGGTCATTCGTTAACCGAAACCATTGTTTCAATGGGATATTGGGTAATTGGTTCCAGCTCACAGAAAACTATATACAAAGTAAAGCCAAAATCACAGATATACACACAGTGGTCCCTCGGTTAACGAACACTTCGGTTAACAAATTACCTTCCATAAGAATCTTCAATTCGGTTAACGAACAAAATTCGATTAACGAATCCTTACGAAAATCACGTTTTGTTGTGAGCATCAGCTGGTAAGCTAATGGACTGGTCTGCCAATTCAGTAATCTGTTCTATATTTACATTCGTTTTCAATGGAGTAAATATCAATAAAGTTGTGCTCTTTAATATTCTTGCATTTTTTATATTAAAATTATTAGCCATTTTAACATTTATTTAACATATTGATAATATACACAGTACAGGGAATTAGTTTTTTGTGAGCCCATCAGATGCTTGACTCAGTCACAAGGCATCAGTTGGGCTTTGAAAACAGTGGAGTGAACATCTATTTTGTTGGTGTCTTGAATATTTTTGCATTTTTCATTGAAATTATTGGTCATTCTGAAATTTATTTAACATATTGATAATATATAGTGCAGTGTTGATTTAAATAAAATAATCTTGAATTACATCTAGTGAACTTAAAATTTTATTGGTGAAATTACTGCATCAAGCATGGGTCCCCTGAAAGGTGATATCTCCTCCATCCCCAATTCCTTCTCTTCTCCCTTCTCCTCCACCCCCACTTCTAATTCCCATCATCATCATCAACCAGGAACCTTCTACATACACACCTCAAAGTAAGTGTACTTAACTGCATTTTTTTTTTACTTTGTATGTACCTTGCGGTGAGCTGGAACCAATTACCCAATATCCCATTGAAACAATGGATTCGGTTAACGAAATTTTCGGCTAACTAACGACCCTCTGGAACGAATTGTGTTCGTTAACCGAGGGACCACTGTACCAAACTAAATTATTCCATTGAAACAACACTTCGATTTTGTGCGAATTCGATTTAAAGCGACCTCTCTTGGAACGTATCTACCATTATACCGAAGTTCTACTGCATACACAAAGAACTGTACACTTACCCCAATAATGGAAGGCAGATCCAGCTGGACATGCCTCACTGCAAGAGGCTTGCAGTCATTTTGAGTCTGAGTGCTTTGAAATTCCATATTCAGCACATATTTGTGAGGGAGCATGTCATCTTACAACAAATATTTGTATTTATTTATTTATTTTTGTCTCAAAAAATAATTTTTTCCAGCTTAAGAGGGGTCCGCCTTAGCGAGGTTTTACTGTACTATATAAACTGTGATATTTCTTTTACGAAAAGAACTTGACATTTACTGTGGTAAATTAATTTAATGTAGTTGTAAAAATGGTTAGTTGAGAATTTTTATACTGTTTTTATGGATTTTTCTTCTTCTAATATATAAATAAATTCTTTGCAGAATCAAGAGCACCAAAGCTAAGCAGTGCCAAACGAATCTGCTCTAAGACGAATATTACTATACAGCATGTGTTGAAATAACAATCAGTTCACCTTTAAATGAGCACAGACAGTTGCTGTAAGAGTAAAGTATACATACAGCTTTAGAATAAAACTGCTTAAAGGTGGTGTTCCTGTAGTAAACAGGCAGATGATGTGGGATGAGATGCATCTGTTAGGCTCAACCATAAAATTTCCTCACTGAAAAAAAAGCGGACACAGCAAAATAACCAGAAAGCCAAATTTCACATTGTGGGGTTTTCCCAACAACTAAAATGAGTTCTGGATGGTCATAAAATTCCCCATTCTAACCTTGCACATGGTGGCTGTTGGGAAAAACTCAAAAGCCAAATTTTGCATTTTGGTTATTTTGTTATGTCTACAATGACTATATCACAAAAACTGGTTTTTAGAAAAAAAAAGCCCCCCTTTTTTTAAATGCGAGTAAATCTGTTGCTTGACCCAAACACATATAATGCTCAAACCTATCCTATGCAAGCAAAAAATGGGCAGGCTGGGGTTGAGATGAATCTTAGGCATTAATGCTTTTTAGTAAAAAAAAATAAAATAAATAAAAGATAATAATAATAATAATAAAAATAAATGAGCGAGAATGTCATGAAACAAACTGTTCTAAAAGAAAGCATCTTAAACTAGGGATGCCTGTACTAACTTTATATAATCTTATAGTGTATGTGTACTTACCAAATAATCCTTTTCTGTTTGGATTGACAAAACTGAAGTCATTGCAAGGGGAACCTCCAATGAGAAGATCAATTGGGCATATCTCAGTAATCTGTAATAATACACACTGGTAGTAATTAATAGTACTGTATATCACAGTAATATGAAAATGATAATGCAAGCATAAACATCACTGTTAAAACTAGGGTTCTTTTATTAATACAGAGGAAAAATTAATTTTTGGTCTTCATTCACAATGTTGAATTGCATGTAAAAGAAATTTGGATTTCCTCCATAAAAATTCTGAACAATTCTGAACAGTCAACTCTGAACTTTGTGATTTGTGCAAATAAAATAAAATAAAAATAAATAAATAAATAAATAAAAAATAAAATATATTCAAAGGCCAAAGTACAGTACTATATACAAAATTATTAATTAATGATAACACTTAAGACTTTCTTAAATAAGAAGATTTTATACTAATATGAGCAAATTCTTAACCATCTTTTTCTTCTCACCTTATTAATATAAACTAGACTTGTGTCTGGAACCTTGACAATAAAATAAATTCAAACATTTGGTTATTTTAGGTTATCATTCACTTTTAAAATAAGATTTATATACCATAAGCTTACTACTTGACAAAAATGTACCCCTAAGGGACGAAGGCTCTTAAAGTTTTACTGCGAAGCATAAACATGTACCACTTGGATTCCTTAATTTTTTTGCCATCAGTTAATTATTAAACATAACTTGTGGAACACCACCATAATCTCAGTCTCCTTTTGCACAATGTAGATAATATATAATCAGGTCCTGCTCTGGCCACACTTGCATGAGTTTGCAATAACTACCTGATGGCAGCACTCCAGGATGCATGATCTCTTGCAACTTCATTAGTCATTTCTCACAACCTCTCTTATTTTCCACACTCAAACTCATGCATCTCTTGACCCACTGTCCTCCCCATTCTCTGTGTATGCCTTAATCTTGGCCTATCTCAACACAAAACTTTACCAATACCCAGCAACCTTCTCTGCACAGGGTTTCCTATCACTCAATGTCAAAATACACATCAATCTCACCATTCTCATTTCACTTTAATCAAGTACAGTACTCCCTCTTTATCGACGGGGGTTACGTTCTGTAAACGGCCGTCGATAAAGAAACCGTCGATACCGTGATGGTTACGTAATTTTTCTAACTATTATTAGCATATGTTGAATAAATGTACCTTTAATCATTAATGCGTTTCCTTTACGCATAACCTTAAATAATAGTGTATAAATAATAATATAATAAGTGGACAAAAATACTAGCAAACTTACGATTTCATTTATTGAAGTGAACATCGGTCCTTACAGTAAACAAAACAGTGTACAGTACAGTAAAAGTCCAAAAATCCGGCTGCCCAAGGCAAATTGTTTACCATTTATTATTACAACACTTTACACTGAAACGCGGGTAGTTTCAACAAAAATATTGTATATTTCCATTCAAGTATTTATTCAAGTCAATTAGGAGGGAATATTATTGTAATACAACAGTTTTTTAACTAAACCATTCGAAAAGTGATTACGGTAACATCTTTTGAACGAAAGAAAGTGAGTCATTGTTTTCGTCACGATTTGATCCCACTTTCCACTTTAATACGTACGTCATTTCAACAAAAATATTACATTTCCGTGAATGTATTATATCAAGCACAGTATGAATAGAATATCATTGTAATATAACAGAATTTTAACCGAAAACTATTAAAAAAACGAGTAACATCTCAAGAACATCGGAAGCATAGGTAAAGTCTTTTGTTTTCGACATGTATTTTATCCTATTTTACATTGAAATACATCACGTTTCAGCAAAACTACTATTTATTTCCGAGAATATATTCATTCAGGCGCAGTTTAGGTAAAATATACGTGTGATGTAATAATTTTTTAACTGAAAACGATTCGAAAAACACGTAGCCTCTAGCCCTGTTCAAGGAGAGGACTGGGAGGAGCTGTTTGGTGCTGCAGACGATGACAAGGAAAATGATTTTGATGGATTTTAATGAAAATATTCAGAAATATGGTATCGTAATATTTATTCAAGTCAATTAGGATATTATTGTAATACAATACAACAGTTTTTTAACTAAACCATTCGAAAAGTGATTACGGTAACATCTTTTGAACGAAAGAAAGCGCAAGTCATTGTTTTCGTCACGATTTGATCCCACTTTCCACTGTAATACGTACGTCATTTTAGCAAAAATATTACATTTCCGTGAATGTATTATATCAAGCACAGTATGAATAGAATATCATTGTAATATAACAGAATTTTAACCGAAAACTATTAAAAAAACGAGTAACATCTCAAGAACATCGGAAGCTTAGGTAAAGTCTTTTGTTTCCGTCATGTATTTTATCCTATTTTACATTGAAATACATCACGTTTCAGCAAAACTACTATTTATTTCCGAGAATATATTCATTCAGGCGCAGTTTAGGTAAAATATACGTGTGATGTAATAATTTTTTAACTGAAAATGATTCGAAAAACACGTACCCTCTAGCCCTGTTCAAGGAGAGGACTGGGAGAAGCTGTTTGGTGCCAAAATAAAAATCCGGCTAAATAATCCGTCGATAATCGAAACCGTCGATAAAAAATCCGTCGATAAAGAGGGAGTACTGTACAGGTATTCCTCGATATACGAATGGGGGTAGGTTCCAAAATAAAATTCATTAAGAGAATTTTCATATTTCGAATAACAAAACAAATAGGAAAAATAGAATCTGATTCCCCAATGACAAAAATACCCCCAAAACATGAAATCGGTTCACAAACAAGAAAAAACATACCAAGCAAATGATAAATAGCGCACAACTACTGAAATTCCTTACCTAACACATTAAAAACATTAATTAGTTACTATACTATCTACATGAAAATATGCAGTTAAACTGTTAAGGAAAAGCTAAATAAAAGTTTAATACAGCCACCAGCAGTGCCATTTGCATAGATGCTGGCTGCTTCACTCATGGCCACCCTCAAGCGTCACCACAGCAACGCAGCCCGGCCACCTCTGCCGACACAGCATCACCCCTCCCCCCTGCTCTCACACACAGGGAAATGTTTATTCCCTCATAGACCTTATAATAGTTATTTTACCTTTTTTTTTGGACATTATGTGCTGTATGTAGGATTGTGTGTGCATGTAACCGAGTGGAAAAAAAAGTGAAGACAGAGAAGTTTACCTATCCAAAATTACGAGTTGAAAAATAATCATAACATAACTCCCCCAGATCATCCTGCTAACTCTCGCTGATGCAGGAAGAAATGTTTATTCTTTATGTTTTTGACCATATGATAATTTTTGTATTATTATTTTTTGCACAATCTGTATGTAGGATTGTGTGCATGTAACTGGATGAAAAAATTACGAATTATGAGTTGAAAAATTACCATGACCTAACTCCTACCTCAGCCTGGTAGGGAGAGCGCTAGGTGATGTAGCTGCCCCAGCTGACTCCTAAAGGCACGCAATTTGAATTTTGGCCGGGACCCAAATTCGTATAAGCAGTGTATACTTTTGTAACATAAAAGAGGTAGTACTTTAGGAAATTTGTATCCAAAAATGTTTGTATCTCAAATGTTTGTATATCAAGGGATACCTGTATGTGTATAGCATCCTCTTTAGTGCGTATACTGCACAGTTATGGAGAACTTGAGCTTTATTCCTTTGTGTCTTACTCTAAAATTTACTTCAGATTGGTTAGAGATATTGCTCCTATTTGGGGAGCAAGCTGAGCATAGCACTGAGAATTGGTACCCCCTACCTTCCTTATTGGTTTGCTTTCATAAACGAATTAGCTTGATCCAAGACTTTAGTTTTTATCTGAAAAGAGTGATTCTGAAATACAGTTTTATATCCAAGATGAGATTGAGTAACTCAGTAACCCTCCCTGTTCCCTATGGAGTACTGAGATGAGATGGATCTGGGATGTTGTTCCTCAAGTTGGGGATTATAAGCGACATGCAATGAATGAAAAGATCAGAGGGTTATGTTTCTTCAAGCTTGGAAGCAAAATTCCCATGCCTTCTACCTCTTCAAACCAGAATAACGCTAGGCTTATTGGGTGTGAGAAACAAGAAGATACAAACATTACAAGAGCTCTAGATACATTATTAAACTACAGACTTTTTTTCTTAAATGGACATGATCCCTATATCACAACCTCTGGCTAAGAAATTAAAAAAGAATATACTTCCTACCCTTTTTTTCTCATCTTATTTCTTTCCAAAAAATTCTTGTTTCCTCATTGGAGGGGTAAAGACAAAATCTAGGTCAAAGGGAGGATTACAACCCCCTGTATTCCTGATGAAGAATCTGCCTGTGAGTATGAGGAGGATCACTGCACCCAAGAAAGAGGAATTTTCTTCTCCAGTGTTCCCCAGTAACACTTCACTCAGCAAGCTGCTTTTATCCTGCCAAACATACTCAAGTTTACCCAACACCCTTACAACTATTCTGGATTGGAATCAGTGGAGTTGAAAATGTAATGAACAGTGGCTGGGTTAGTCTGTGTGTCCTACACTGGCCAATGGCACAGGTGTAGACCTTAGCAGAATGCTACCTTTACTGTATTCTCTGTTTGATGCTTTTGATATTCCAAATGCTTATTTGGTGGTCTAGGAGTCCAACAACAAATTGATTCATTCTTGACTAGACTTTTGAGATTAAAGAAATTGGTCTATGACTAGCTAGCAAGCTGATGAGATGATAATGTTAAGTAAATGAATATAGAAGTATAGCACAAGTGAATAAATACAGTACTGTACTGTATAGTTATTTGAACTATAAACTTCTTACTCAATATTTTTTTTCACAAGAAATTTAAATTTAGTTAATGAAATTATGGTTATATATTTTACTTACCTGTCCATTGGTAAAGTTCTGAACATCTCCAATGAAGGTAATTTTTGTTCCAAAGTTTAAGGTTGCCACATTCATTGCAGATTTATTTATTTCAGAAGCAAAATATGCTTCTACTTCAAGACCAAGTTTATCCAGTGCGTAAAAGCCTATGAAAGATAATTTAATAGTAAGTAAACGTATTACATGCACAAAACCATTAATATATACAGTAGACCCTCAATACAATATAATGCAAGAGTGGGACCAAGAATGAAAATGTCAAAAAATGATATTAATCTACAATAAATTTAGAGAGAGAAAGAGATATCCCCCCCCCCCCTTTTTATAGGCACAGAATCATTTTATGTCCCACATCAAGGCCTGGGGGAGGGGGGGATAATATAATAATAATAATAATAAAGAGCCATAAATAAATAAAAAAATAAAAAAAATATGAATAGTGAGAAATGATATACAGGTATGTATGTTGTGTTGTCAAAGTAAGAGAAACAGTTGAAACCCTCCAATTATGTATAAATGAGGCAGAAAGTCAGATCAGCAACCTGGGACTTGGTCACAATTTTAGTGGTGTCATATGGCAGCAGGGTCTACCATTGGACAACACATAATGCTTCCAATATCTTCCCAGGATGTAGTACCTCCCTGTTTGATAGCTGCCTACTTCCTACTACCTGTGAAAATGTCAGAAATGATCTTAATGTTGATCCTAGGGCTCTAGTGATATCCAGAGTTCACTTCCCATTTTCAAGACGACTTGATGAATCCATTTTTACATTTGAACTAATACCCTTTGCCAATGACTGGCTAGCTAGCCAGTCGGGCAGTTGGTTAGTTCTCTATTATGCACTGTTGACAAGTACTATACTGTACATGTATAGGCTCTAAAAATACCTGAATATGCACCAGTCTAGTCTTAAATGAGCTCACACTCAGTGCTATCATAACATTTTCTGTCAGATTATTCCAAGAGAACCTTTCCTACATAGATGTTAGCTCTGACAGTTTTCTGTGCTTGAGGATTCATTTTTTAGAGAAGTATTTAATTTTTTTTGTCATATCAAATAAACTTTTAAAAGTTTAATATGAGCTGAAGACAATTGGTCGGCTCACAAAAAACAAGTTTCCACCCTCACTAGATGGCAGGACTGACACACACACACACAAAAGACAAAAATGAGTTTAACTTTGCTATCGAGAATTGTAAAGTGCTATGTGGAGGGGAAAGTCTATGAGGAACTGAAAATTCCACAGATCCATGAATTCACCTTGGGCTGGTTTCAAATGTTGAAAAACCAGTACAGCATCTTAAAGCCACTGGAGATAAAAATTTCAGCAAACACAGTGATGGAAAATGTTCTTATGCCAATCACTGTCAGCTAACAAGCCAACCATCCCATGATGCTCTACTCAGACTCCCTTGTGTATTGCTGGCATTTTCTACACCTCCAAACATTTCTTCACTTCCAAAATCCACACTCTCTCTTATAACTCTACAATTTGTACATATTATCATATAAAATTTAAGAATAATTTTAATTTTTATCTACAGTACAGTACACCTGGATAATTCGTGGATCTTTATTTCAAGGTCCTCTAATATTCGTGGATGACACCCTGGCAGTACCCAAGAATGTCTAAGGGTAGTTTTAAAGTTGCTGGCATTTTTGCGGCTGGGACAGGTAGCCATTCGTTCTAGAGACAGTAATTTGCTTTAACTGTATTGTATATATGTGTGTGTGTGCAGACACATGCACACACAAAACACATACAAATCAATAATAATGGGAAAATCCTCTCACAAACCAAAAAAAATAAAAAAAATATTACAAATATTGAGTCTACCCTCAAGTCCACTCCGTACTTTGTTATTAATAAAGCACGGAGTGAACTTGAGGGTAGACTCAACATTTTTACTTTTTTTTTCCGATTATTTATGAGAGGATTTTCCCATTATTATTGATTCGTATGTGTTTTGTGTGTGTATCTACACACACACACACACACATATATACAATTGAGGTAAAAGAAATAATTGTCCTAAGGGCAAACACATAAAGGGAATATACATTTCTTTGTTCTCAAGTAAAAATGTAACCTCCCCCCCTCTGTCAGCAAATGTTATTCGCGGATTTGGAGATTCGCGGCCATTTTGAGAACCAAACCCCCATGAATTTGAAGTGCATGCTATATTTAATTGTCCGCATATTGTATGAGAAAATGGAGAGAAATTATACAATCAGGCAACTGGCAAAGTGATTTTGTGAGTGGAGACAAGTCTACTTACCTTCAGTGAATTTGAAGAGTAAGTTATATGGTGACTGTAGGAGAATGATGACACATTGCGAGCTTATTTGTAGAGCTTTGTAACATTGTAAGTGTTAAAGAATGAGATAAGTAAAATAAGAATGCATACTGTTAGTAAAAAAAAAAAGTAACTTTTGGGTTTTTGTTGTACAGTCATTCGAAATTTCATAAGCCAAGGCTTAATAAATTGGGGTCTACCTGTATGCACAGTATATATATCTCCTGGTTAACAAAAACAAGGAAAATCGTGTGCAGACCTGCTGGAACCCCATAAAGGATCACTTCAACTAAAACTATAAGCAAGCTCTCTGTAACCCCCATAGGAAAAGGCAAGGAACCTTCTCATCAGAGCAGTGTCTGGGCAGGTTGGCAGTGAAAGGGAATTGTGTAATGCAGAAGTAACTGTTAAAGAATGAAACAATAAGAAAGAAAATACTGTACAACATCTACTAATTAACAACATGTAGGGGAGGGGAGCTAAGATAAAGGTCAACTATCAGGTAAACTCAATATCTACTCATTAATAACTTGTAAGGAAGGAAATTTAAGATATAGTACAGTACAACTATAAGGCAAAACACAGTCTTCTACTCACCAGTGCCAATACCATCAAAGAGGGAGAGGACTCTTAGCGGTCTATTTGGAAAAGTTGATTTATCAGGTACGTCATCCTCCAAAATCATATTACATGAATTTGATTGATGATTGCCAGATTTAGCAGCCAGCTATTAAAATTTTGTAAAGTTAGTTGCATTGTAATTGGGATGTAAATGTCTCCATAAATCCTGATTCCTTATGATGAGTGTAAGATCTGTTGATAGAATGCTGATATGAGATTCATAGACTGCTTCATACATCAAGATGAATGAGCTATTAATAATTATATTTCTAACATAGGGTTAGTTAACCCTGTGTTTGCTTGTACATCACCCCCTGTATGCTAATACTCCCTATGGGCCCCTACCTGAGCTATACAGTTACAGATAGTTGCTATGGTCAGCCAAAAAAGTAATAATAATAAATAAAAGGTAGCAACTGACAGCCAGAAGGTATGCACATTTATTTTAAATGGATTCGAACTAAATTCATATGTAAATTTAGAAATGTATCTGACAGGTATTTAAATACAATATGGAAGTAAAGATAAACCTCTATATACAATAGGCCAACCTACAATAATTCACATTAACAATGCTGATATACTAACACCACTTCCCTATCTGCGATGTAAACAAACTCAAATTAACGATATTCGGCATATGGAATGCATCACCCACTTCATTTGTCAGCTGAGGTGTCATCTACCCAAATGCCACCTCGTGGCCATCTGATGAACTACAGTGCAAGCACTGTTTCTTCTTGATTACATGTGTGTAAGAAATGGAGCGCATGTTTATTGGTCATCATTGGTGTTGTTTTTTTTCCCCCTTACAGTGAGAGGATATCACTGAAGTTCACATTATACTCTGATTTTGTGACTGTGAAGTGCTTTTCCTGTTTAAGGGACAATGAAGTTCTTTCACTCTGACTATGAAGTGCATCAGGTCAGTAATATGAAACCACTAATCCACCACCCCACCGCCACTGCAAATAAAAGTTTATATATATTGGGTCGACCTGACATTGCATCCGGTCAGGGCAGCAACATGAGACCCACTAATCCCATACCACACGTCCATCACAACATTTTCATTTTTTTTCATAAAGGAATTCACTCCCTACAATTATTATTATGTTTTCGTGACTGAAGTGAGCAGTGTAATTTTGAAAACGTCTGGGAAGGCTAAGGCACCCAGAAAACCAAGTCTCTGGAGGTGAAGCGGCATGAGACTCCCCAGAGGCTGTGTGGGAGTCAGAGTGACATCTCTACTCCACCTTCAAGAGTCCCCTTAGCCTCTAATGGGACACACAATGATGACCAGGCTTGTTCTTAAGAATGTAGTGAGTGTTGTTTAATTGTGATGTAGTGCTAGTAGTAGTCTAGGATTTTTTTTTCCAGTGATATACTGTATATGGGTGTTTGACTGGTCAGGAACCTATTTCACTGAACCGTATGCTATAATTAACCAGATTTATGATATTTCGTCCTGCGATTGGGTTTTCAGTAACCTAACCCATTGCAAATAGAGGTTTACCTATATTGTATTCATATACATTTGTACAACCTGTAATGTATCTTGTATTTAATTAAAATTTTACAAAAGTAAAATATTTAGTATTCAAATACATTTCAATGTACTGTATTTCCATCTGTCACGATCCAAAGTTTTTTTACCCCCACTGGGTGGAGAGAAGGCACAGCCAAGGTTGAAAAAAGGTCAGGCAAACATAAACTCATTCAGTAGTTTGGTGATGAGCCATAATGATGGTGGGGCTCACACACCAGCACCTCAACACAGTCACTCAGAAAAAAAATACAAGCACTGGTTTGAAATATGATTCAAAACAATGACATGATATGGTATATTAGTAGGGCTATACAGTAACTACTTTAAAAATAACAACATATAATGACAGCAAAAAGCTTAGTGTACATCTATTTGCCTGGCCTTTTTTCAACTTTGGCTTTGCCTTCCCTACAGCCTTGTACTTAATGTTAGTTTAATCATTACCTTTTCCTGCCAATTCATTCTTGGTTGAATAAGACCATGTGTATCTGGATGGTATGGCTTACACAAGAAACAGTGCCAGGGATCTGTTTCAATGATGCGTTGTACTGCACTTGGTGATACTAGCAGCTCAACACACCAAGTACAAAACACTCTGGCAAGAACACATTAGATGATTTCTTAAGTGGACATTGATTTTCTTGGCAGAATTTTTTTTTTAATTCAGAAAACATTGTTAATCCAATCTAATAGGGGGAGGGAGGGGTGTCCAGATGAGCCAATTGTCTGGATCATCTGAGTGTCCCGATGGACCCTTTTAGTCTGGACTAAACTAAATTGTTTAAATACTTTGAAAATACATACAGTATACTGTACAGCTAAAGATGATGAGAGAGATCCCAACTGCATGAGTCAAAACATAATTGCTTGTGTGCCAACTGCAGCTTGTCATACACATTAGGTGTTTTGTTTGCACTAGTTCAGATCCAGAACAGATTAACATAACATAAATACAGTTGACAAGAAGCCACTATGGCCTTTTGAGTCTAATTTTCTGTCTAATACTAGTTGGAAAAGGTGAAGAATATGGGTTAAGAGTTAATGCTGCAATTACAAAATTAATGGTTGTTTCCAAATTGGAAATAAATCCTAAAATAAAAAATATGGTTGGCATCAGGGAACTTAAACTAGTGGAAAGTTTTGTGTATCTGGGTGGCTGAAATGCCTAACTGTGTGATGAACGGAGGGGTGTGTAGAGGCCCATGTGGTTGATGAATACAAGTGTCAGATGAAGTAACACAGAGCATTATGGTGACATGAGCGGTTTGTGCTGCACACTTAATCTTTTTATTGCTACTCTTTTCATTTTAAAACAATTAAAATAACATTTGTTTCTGTTAATATTAATTAATTTTATAATTGTGTCAAATCTTATTGCTTGAAGACTGGATGTCACCTGTTCACTTACATCTCGCAGCAAGCAGCCAGCGCTACTACGGAAATAGGTGCACCATTCCCCTACAACTTAACAACCACCTCCCTCATCACCACTGCTGTGGAAATTATTTTGTATAATTCCATGTAATATTAAATTGTAAATAAAATGTTGTAGCAACTTGCCCCGCAGAACCCTAAATCACATTTGGATATTCGGCTGGTGGGTTTTGTGTGAAAAAAGTGTGAAATAGACTTGTTCTCAGGGGTAGATCATGGATTTCTGACAATAATTCATATTATCGATGATTCGCTTGTATAAAAATATAAATAGTGGCACTGGTTTATTATTAATATAAATAATTAGTCTAATGAGCACAGGTATCCATGACACGTTTCACTGGGTTGAGACAAGTTAACCATCTTTCATCAACTACTTTAATTCTCGTAAATAGGTTTATAAAAATAAACTAATAATAAATCATCAATGTATTACAAGAATTAACACAGTTATTCGAGTAGACTTTAAACTAATAAATAGTCAAGTGATACATGTCGAATGAGGATTGGTTCCTGGGCCTTTTAGCTGAGACATGGGTCGAGCTGCTTACACAACTATCCACAGCACACGCTAGACATGACAGCAAGACAGCGTTTTACTTTTATGTTTCCAGACATTACACAATGAAGCAACTTTCAACACTGGCTGAAGTCAACTTAGAATTTCATTAAAGAATCATAAACCCATCCTACGAAAAGTGGTTTCGTAGAAGAGGGTAGAAGAGAGGTAAGCCTAATTTGTGAAGTTATTAAATTAATTATTTGGTGTAAATAAAAAAAATATCACAATCCCTCATCATCACCACCACCTTTCATTCTTTCAGTGATGAAGAGATGGATTTCCCTCATCAGAAACAAAGTTGCTCTACCAACCACCTTTTCTGGCAGAGCTTATGCTAGTGTGGATAGACATATTTAAATTATACTACTGTATATACTGTACAAAGTCTGTTAACTTAAGAGATCAAATAGAGAACAGTTCACCTTACCTTTTACAGTCTGGTTCATCACATTCAAGAACTTCACCAAGACTCCCACACACTGCACAGTACATCTGTTGCATTATAATATTATATTAATAAAATAAGAATTAAGAAAATACAGTAAAGTATTGCTAATCCTTTGAATATTTGTGCACTGCAACTACCTCAGTATCTCTGGGTTTTCAAGATCTAAAAAATAAAAATCAGTCCTGAAATATTGTTTTCTAGCAAAGCCAATAGCCAAGTGGTTTTATATCACAACCTGTTATATACAGGGGGCCCCCAAGTTCGCGGTTCTCGGTTATTCGCGGATGACACCCTGGACATACCCAAGAATGTCTGTGGGTAGTTTTAAAATTGCCGGGATTTTTGCGGCTGAGACAGGGAGCCATTCGGTCTAGAGACAGTAATTTCCTTTACCCGTATTGTAAATATATGTGTGTAGACACATATTTGGGGGCCCCCTGTACATAAATAAATCAATGAAAACAACTTACACATCAGGGTGCCAGGTTCAAACCGGGGCAACTATGGTTCGTAGTCAGGGAGCTAGTCCACTGGACCACGATGGGCCAATGGACTTGCTGCCTGACTAACAACTGTGGTGGCCCTGGTTTGAACCTGGCACTCAGAGATGTAAATTGTTTACAGCAAAATGGCTCTTGAAATAAAGGTTGCAGACTGAGGAACTAAGATATAATACTTGTCCCCATCTATACAAGCCAGAGTGATTACTAATCCCTTTGAGTGCACCAATCACCCCCCCCCCCATCACATGATTCATTTTTAGTGGGTGGGAGAGAAGCAATTTGGTGCGACACATCTTGTGACAGCTAAGAGGTCTTAATAGAGCCAAGCCTGCTCAAACAATATACTGCATGCCAAAACTATGATCAACCATTTTAAATCCAGGAATAACTTAATGGATACTGTATTTCAATTCCAGCTAATGAAAGACAGATTGAAGGATATTCACTCTGTTGGATTAAGAATTCTACTAGGAATCAGGATTTCAAGACCAATTCTTCATTTCTAGTTATATCCTAATGTCAGGCTGCTCTTGTAATACAAAAGTTTGAGACAAAGAGCAAGGAGGTGCTAAAAAAGCCCATGGGATTAAGGGGTATGCATGGTGCACCCTTGGGAAATTTGACTATGTTTATAGCATCTTTTACTGGAAGGGAGGCTTCAATTCCCACCATTGTATTTGAAACCTTCAGGAGATAATATCCCCCAGTTTCAGGGGCCCTCAGTCACTGGTCAATAAGCCCAACATGCTGTTGTTGGTGTACATTGTCCCCTATCCCCCATAGCCTCCACTGCCTTACAGTGCATGAGCTCCAAGTGGTTGTACACTCAGACAAATTTAATGAATAAACCAGGGTATATGCAGATGCATAATACTGTACACAACAATTTTACTTTTTAATTGATGATAAATACACAATAGTATTTATTAAAGGGTGATAAATACACGATTGTACTGTACTAATTTACTAAGTGTTGAAGACAGACGTTGGGGTAAGCCTATCAGCTGTTAGACCACTGTAAACAAATTATTCATGGTTTTGAGTGTGGGATTCTTTTTCAGGAAAGTTGATTCCTTTAGGATACCCCTGAAGATGTGAATTACACGAAAGCGCTTGGGAACTTCGTGTTTTCTTGTGGTTATCAGCATATACTTGGATCATGCGCACCTATAGTGATTTAATTGCACACACACACACACACATATATATATATATATATATATATATATATATATATATATATATATATATATATATATATATATATATATATATATATATATATATATATATATATATATATATATATATATATATATATATATATATATATATATATATATATATATATATATATATATATATATATATATATATATATATATATATATATATATATATATATATATATATATATATATATATATATATATATATATATATATATATATATATATATTACACGTGAACTGAAAGTTAAATAAGTACAATACAGTAATTCAGGGAATTTTCTACTTACATCATTTGATCCATCCTCTTCACAGGCTAATTTGTTGTCTTCAAATTCTTCCTGTATGAAAGAAAATAATTATATTCACCAGTCTTATAACCATTGGGTTTACTGTACTAGAAAACAGTTAAACTATAAATTGGAATAGTTTCCATTTGACATGAAAATAAAGAATGATGAACCACAAACATTCTTTAAGCAAGTCTTTAACTTTGAAAATGAACAATTAACAAAGGAATAAAAAATGGGAAGTGTTGCTGACCTGAACTGCTCCAAAACCAGTGGATCATATTGCACGTCAATACAGTAAGCTCAAGTTGAAGATCAACTGGCATTTTTTCAACACCAAATAAAAAAGGAGAACAACAGAGTGCATGTCAGCTTAAAATTAGTGAGCAATTTTAGATTGCAAGTCAAGTATTAACAAAATACACAAAATACTTTAAGGTTTTCATCACAAACAGTAATCCACTGCCAAGTGGGCTATAGCTCATATCCTACCTGGAGAGGTAAAAATTAATTTAGCTAATCATAAATATCTCGATACTGTAATATATTTTGTGTGCAAAGAACGCTTTTCTTTGCAGTTTTGAATTCATTTAGGTAATTTGGCCAATATCAACATCAAATGGACAATCAGAGAAACAATTTACAGCATCCAGCTGTGAGAATTTTTTATCTTGTTGCTTCACATTAAAAAATCAAAGCAATCTTTGCTCTCAGTTCCAACACTCTTTTCATTACCACCTTGCATACATGTGTTGGGATTCAAAATCCTCAAGCAGGGTTACAAAGTGCTTGTGGTTTATACTTTTGCTCAAATGAAGATTACCACTTTTGCAACTGTGTCCACCCCACTGGTTAGATTTAAACCACAATTACAGAGGACCTCTTGGTAAATGATGCAATGTAAGAAAACAACTTTCTGTTCAGCATTTGCTTTTAACAACTTGGTCTAATACTTTTCAGCAACCCAACATATTAATAAACCCTAAACATCATTGATAATTCATAAAAAGTAACATAAATATAGCACAAAAGGTAGTTCTACAATACATAAACAGCTCCTTCCTTCTCATAATTTTGTGTGGGTTATACCAATACACTAACATGGAGACAGGTAGGTGCAGGGCTGGCTGTGTCCACGCTATGTAAACAATGACCAGGAAGCTAATACTGTAAGTACCAATTGCATTTAATATATTAACCAACTGCCCATCAGTTGCAACCTGTAGGCTTGATGAGTAAATTCATGTCTCCTTGGACTGATTATATCTTCAGAATCTTTAAACCTCAACTGTAAAAATAATACCCAAGTCTATAGTACACATACAAAAATAGGAGTGCAGTATATACTTACTTTACAAACTCCACAAGTGCCTCCTTTAATATAAGGATGTGGGGATACTACTTCACAATCAGTTTGGTCACATGATATACACAGTGTCTCTATGTCATATTTCCCATCACGGGCTGCCTTTAAGAGGAGATCTGAAAATAAGCGTTTATACACATGAATTTTATTACTGTACTGGAAAAAATAAATAAATAAAAAATGATGAAGACAGTATATTAGGACATTTTACATCACTTATTATTATTATTATGGTTGTTAATGCAAAATGATTGATACATGGGGGATAACGAGAAATAATATCCTAAAAAGGGGATAATAAGGGTCAGTATCCCAAACAAGGGATAACAAGGGTTAATATCCTAAATGAGGGATAAAAATTAATATCCTAAACAAGGGATAATAAGGGTTAACATCCTAAACGAGGGATAACGAGGAATAATATCCTATATGAGGGTTAATGAGGAATAATATCCGTGGAGATGGCACACATTTGTGTAGCAGTCTCTGACTCGCCACCCAGTAGCACTCAAGAGCAGAGGCTGAGCAGTGTGCTATATTTTTGCAAAACACATAATTTTCTTCATATATTTTTTTTTACTGTTACATGCACACACAATTGTCCATACAGAATGTACAAAATAAAATAAAAGAAATGATTAACGTAAGGTTATAAAATAATTTCTTATGACTGCAGGAGTTAGTGTCCGATCGTGCGAGGGGAAGGAGGGAGCAGGAGGGAGCAGGAGGGGGGTGCAGTGTCGGGGATCTCAGCCTCTACTTACAAGGACAAGCTGTGAACTGTGTTATTGTTCTATTTCAATTCGTATTTTCAGGTAGATACAAAAAGTAATTTTCTTCAATTCTTTTTTACTGTTACATGCACACACAAAAGCTGATACATAATGGAGAAAAAAAAAAAAAAAAAAAATATATATATATATATATATATATATACTGTATACATAAATAAATAATTATCATATGATCAAACACACAAAGGGAATAAACATTTCTTACATGCACTGGAGTTAGCCCTCAAAGCGGGGATGGGGGAAGCGAGAAGGGGAAGGGGGTGAGGCATGGGGATCTGTTCTCTGTCTTGTGTAAACAATTGACAAATGGCAATTCAGTATTTTTTCTTGTATTTTATTTATAATTTTTTTTTTATTCTACACACTTACTATGATTATGAAGTGCTTTTCTCTGTTTTTGTGACAAGTGCTTTTGCCATTTTTGTGACTGAAGTGAGCAGTGTACCTTTGAAAATGTCTAGCAAGCTGTTGTTGAAGGCTCCTGCGCCTGGGAAGGCAAAAGTGTTCATGAAAACTGTGGAAAACCGTGTCTCTGGAGGTGAACCTTGACATTGTGAAGCGACCAGGCTTGTTCTTAATGTAGCGAGTGTTGTGTAATTGTTTTCCATTTATTTTATTAGTGTAGGTTTTTTTTCGGTGATACATACGTGTGTTGGCTTGGCTTGGCTGGGAACGTATCCCATTGAACCCCATGTTATAATGAACTCGGGGTTTTCAGGAACATAACCCCATCGTAAATTGGGGGATACCTGCAATTTAAGGCTGCATACATACTGAGATACATTGTTGCACAACATTGTCTCTGGACTGTTTCGCAGCTGTCTCAGAAAAATCCAAATTTGTTGTGCGACTGTCTCACAACAGTCCAGAAACACGATTTTGGATGTTTCTTGTTTCCCATCCCATATGGGAAACATGATACAAAGTTGCTCAATCTGGACAATTTTTTTCGAAAACCAACGAATATTACTATAGGTAGGTGTATGTAATTGATATGTGCATGGCACAATAAAGGATTTTCCCAGTTTATTTTTTATGCAATTTCATTTAGTATTATTTTCCCCCTTTACAATACGTCAAATATTTGTAATAGCCCTTGTCTTATAGGCAGAAGTATTATATAAATGGGTTAATTACATTTGATTTGTATACTCTATCACCCTCTGTAACTTTCCACTAGCTATGAGGTAGCATGTTCAGAGCACGTGTTAAGGTGTGCCCACGGAAAGTCGCGTCATTTAGTGCTGAGCAAAGGCATTAAGTAGCCGGCTCTCTGGCCACCTAATGCGGGCAGTAGTTTGATATCCTTGATTAGAGGAAGACGTTATTGAGAGCCATTGTGAATGATTCCGTCTTCCCTCAAGGGAGGACGTCGGATATATTTCCGTTCTCCCTCGATGGGTCCCTACTCATTATCACTCACCGCTCATCGACAGGACTTACTTAGCAGAGCTATTATAACATAGCCTCCATCCTCATCTTAACACCCATAGCAAGTACAGTGATTAAGTTACGGTGATATACGCTTGGAACTGTATCTGAGATAGTTCCTCAATAAATAGATAACAGACAATTGGGTTTGGCTACTAAAACCCTATATAATATACATGTTCCAGCCTCATTAACCCAGATGGAATCAACGGTTAAAGGGCCAGAACATATTTTAATAAATTTACATTTACAAATTCCTTCTGGGCATCAAGGAGTGCATCACACACTTCCGGAACGATGGCAGATATTGACTGTTTTGACATTTTGAAGGTACACATCAGGCTTGTAAATGAGTCCCCACTGGCAAGATACCTTAAGATACTGCCAGGAGTATTTTGGCAGGGATTGAGACTCGATGGTTTGTATTTTGCTCTGTGATTTAGGGACCAACCCTTTTCAGTAATATTCAAAATCTGAAGCTGCTGTTCTTAAAAAGTTTCTAAATCCAGCTGCATCTTCTAGTTTCAAGTCTGTCATTAGTTTTTCTCCATATGTTGTTCCTTCATCCACCATCGTCTAGGTCTTTCCCTTACTCTCCGCCTTCTTTCTTCTAAGGAAATAACACAGGCACCCGCAGCAGTGGCCACTTCTGTATCCACCGACATGACGACGTCGACTGCTCTAACCGCCAATTCATCACTCTAGCTTGGTCTGGACGTGCAACAATGTTTCTGGACTGTTTCGTGACTGTTGCAAAACAATCGCAATACAGTCCAGCAACAAAGTTTACCCACTGTTTCTGGACTGTTTCGCAACAGTCGCTAAACAGTCCAGAAACAATGTTGCCGTGTCTCCCAAGTATTTCAGGACTGTCTCACGACTGTTTCTCGATTGTCTCGCAACAGTCCAGAAAAAGTGTTGCACGACTGCTTCTAGACCATGGATCTTGGTGTGTATGAGGCTCAACACATCAAGTATTGAAGGAAGTCTACGGGTAATCAATAAAAAAATGTACCGTCCTCATATCTAAAGTTTGGAGATCACAGGCCTTCACTCTAAATGTGTTTGGACTGTTTTTACCAATCCTCCAAGATTTTGCATCTCTCTGGGAGACACAAATTTTTTATTTCGTTCTTCCATCCCAGCCTCTGCTTTCCCCTGGTCCTCCTACTGTCAATTTTGCCCATTAATATTTCTGTTATGATCCCCTCATCCCTATTATATGACCAAAGTATCATGTCAGTGTAACTTGTTTTTAAGTCACCTATAACACCAAATTTCAAAGACCTCCCTCTTTCTGATGTCTGCTGAGTGTCCATGATCCTGACCCATACAACAGCCTCGACCATATATAGCCTTTCAGCAGCCTTTTTCTCAAACTGAAGTCAATGTCCCTTTTTATTACATCTTATAGATTATTAAATCCTGTTTTTGATGATTTCTTTCTCACATCCACCATCAAAGCTAATGTTACCTCTCATATACCCTATTTGCTAGCCCTTAAAACAAACACACAGGTTGCGTCCTATATGTAATTACCGAATATTGTTGGGAGAGGGATGGTTATTTTTTACATTTAGATATGCCTTGGGTCACTTGCAGTTCCCCAATGAATAAAAATACAGAGTATTTCAGAAACACACTTCTTAATTTTGGGGGTGCACTCCTGAGACATAAATAAGACTCCATGACTTGTGTCAACATCCCATCATTACGAAATTACAGTATACCACAAAATTGAGTAGGGAAGGACTGCAACAAGTCTATGGATATAAAACATGAAATTATCAAGTGCTACTTAAAGATAATGCTAACAGTCGAGTAGGTCTGTTGACAATTCACATACTGTACAGTGACACGTACATCTCATCTGGCACAATTCGCAATCAATCTTTGAGCTGGGATTATTGGTGACCACCTTATTGGCCTACGTTGCTACCCCAGCTACTGACAAGTGAAATATACACATATTTTCTTGAGAACACTTTGCCGGTGATGTTTGAGGATGTGCCCATCAGGATACGTCAACAACTGTGGTACATGAGTGATGGTGCCCCAGCTAATTTTCCTTGATAAACAATAGAATTCCTAAATGCTGGGTATCCTGGCATGTGGATAGAGCATGGAGACCCCTGTCCCATGGCCACATCGATCGCCTGACCTGGGTAGCCGAATATGTCCTGTTAATGCCCATACCATTTTTGAGGTCTAGGGCAGTAGAGCATTCCCATTTGATCTTGCAATTGTATCTCCCCTCAAAACAACTATCAACCGTATAAAAGGTAGGCTGGTTGCACAGGTTTCCATCAAGTGACAGAATGTCGAAATGAGAGCCATCTAACTAGCCAGTACACACATCATGCAAGCAATAGACCATCATCTTCATTTACAGCAATGTGAGCAGAATCAGTTCTTCATCTGCACCTTTTATGGTAAATGTTTCTATAGTAAATTCAAAGACACTTTATACAGTTGCATCATGCAAAGTCATCACTTATGATAATTAGCATTAATTTGAGGGTCATAATTTTTTTTGATAGACAGAAAAGAAACCATGACCACTTCTTTGGAGAAAAAATTATTTCAAGCATTCCAGTTCATCAAGCAAAACAGACATGAGCAAATAATTTCTTGGAGCTTATCTACCAAAGCTATTGAAGCAACACTGGCCCCAACCTTTAAAAGGCAAGATGACCAAGAATTAAGGAAGAAACTTTAACAAGCCACAAACTCCATAATAGATACTGTGGTTGCTGCCTAAATGATGAAAATGGGTAGACGGACAACATACCCATGAAACTTCCCATATAATACACACCTTTAGGTTTCGAGTTCTGCCTCTCATTAGCATTTGATGAATCCACACTGTCAGATTGTGATGATGAGGAGGAAGAGGCTGTCCTCAGCAGTGTCTTCTTTATTCGACATAAACAACGTTCAACCTTGGGAGACAGATGTATATCTGTAAGATAATGAATATTACCAATTAGACACCAAAATTTGCTTACTGATATGTAACAAAATAATTATGTAAAATATACATCCTGTGTCAAAAACAATTTTGTGTGTAGGATAAATGAATTCAGATAATAATCCAATAATGATGTGTAAAACTTCCCCTCACATAAAGAGACTGTGTGTAAGCCACCTGTTAGGGTCTAATATGGGGTCACATGGACAGGAATTTTTCTATCCCATAATCTGACCAGGACTGACAAGCAAAACCATATGGTAGACCTTGAGAATAAGCATGGACCTGTACAATGGTGGGCTGCCATGCTAACCTCTTGGCTATCAAGATTATGAAAACCTGAAAATTTTATTTACAGAAAACCCAATTCAAGTTAGGTCTGGTAGGTATATTGCAACTACATTCTGTAATTCAATGTCAAAATTCTAAAGCTTTTTCAAAATTCAATATACTTTACTCGTAGAAAATAAAAAGTTAATGGTATACATTACATTTAACTGTATAAAAAAATTTATTGTCATCAAATGCAGTTTCATAACTTCTGGGGAGAAAAAAGAAGTTTAATTATGTGAACTGCTCTTCAAGTTCATGCAATGAATACAATCTATAGCAATTACATTGTAATGTCTACAAGAATAAAGGGAGATTTTGGACACACTCACCTGTATTTTGTTCAAAATTCACTGCACTGGGGAAGTCATTTACAGCCCAATTCACCAATGAAAATTTTGAGTCTAAAACTTCCAATTTACACTGTTGTCGAAATTCCTGAGAAAAATATCAATATACTGTATCAGACCAGACTTGAACAATAGTGGTGCTGGTTCAGTACATTCTGGAGCAAGTACATGGCCAGTGCTTGCCAACTGTGTGCAACTGGGACGTGACTGACTGTCCAAGCGGCCAACAGGCTATTCAATAGCGAAGACCACAAAGTACAATAGAGTCTTGATAATTCACGAAATACAAATTCGCATTCTGAAATTTGTAGGTACAGTACCTCTATTACTACCTCTTATTTAAATTCTGCGTTTAAATATTCACAAATCGCGGCCAAGTGCCGAAGTCTTTGTTTACATATAAAACCATAAGTTGTGGAAATCTCCTTTCATTGCTCTAAATTGCCATGGAAACAAGGAAAATATAATAGAAATATTACTACACTGCCCCAATGTGACTTAGAAATAAAAAAAAACATTCTATATTAAACTATAAAAATAAAAGTAGTAAGTGAAATGTTTCTGCAAAGCAGGGCGGTTGGGTGATGGCCTGACCTCCCCCCCCCTCCCATTCCTGAGCCGAGAGCACACCCTCCATATCAACCTCATTAATACATTATGCAATTTCACAATACAGTACAGGGTAATTCCCATACTATTTAAGGTTCATTTGCTACCTGGTTAATAAAATAATAAATTTTCACATTATTGTATTATACAGTATATTAAAAAAAACATGAGTTATTGAGTGGTATTAAATTTTGGTTCTTTGTTGACAGTGTGGTCACAGCCAGTTTGGTGCATGACTGTCTCAATGTTGGTATATTAGGAAAAGAGCTGTTTATGTAAAATATTATATTCTTTAGAATATGTATTACTGTATTTTTTGTATCATGTATGATATTTTGGGTTAATTAAAGGAGTTTTAGAACAGTTGTGGTTATTTCTTGGCCTCTGGAAGCAAACTAAATATAATCTATTTAATTAAATTAAACTATAATTTGCAATTTAATAATACAGCGATATCCCCGTTAGCCGGAACATTTGGTGCAGAGCACTTCCGGGGATGAGAGATTTCCAGCTAACCAATATTTTCAGGTTACTGGGAGAAGTTTCCGAGTGTCTAAACTAGATATCTTGCACACGTACACACACACACACACACACACACACTAGCCCACTTCCTCAGAATGTTTCTGGGTGCTGGGATGTTTTCCTCAAGTCTAAACTACCAGAGTCCATAAATGCAGTTCTAGTTAAGTTAGAGACTCCATTTCTTTACTATAATAATCCAGAATAGTTTATATAAAAGTTTGGTAAAATAAATATATATGAAAATTAAAAATTTATACGATATGGGTGTGAATGAAACTGTGTGTTACAGCAAAGACTGGTATTTTCCACTCCCATGGAGCTGTGGGGGATTAGTGGGTCTCTTGTACCTGACAGGTGGAGGGGGATTAGTGGTCTCATATTACTGACCTTCTGATGGAATGTCAGGTCACACTTTCTTGGGTGGGGGATTAGTGGGTCTCATGACCTGAAGATGTTTTGAATAAACACGAAACCTAAAGTATTTTTAGGAGTGAAAAAGCAGAAATGTGTGGGTAATTCGAGAGTTGGAGTGGAAATGAGTGTTGCTAAGCACTCCTCAACAGCTGATATCTAACTCGCAGTCACACACACACACAAATTTGTCACACAATAAGAGCCTCACTCCATATGTCTGCTGTCTTAATTCCCTCGTTAGGGGTATGTGAGTGGTGTTGGAGTGTGTGGGTGTGATGTTGGGGTGTGTGTGGGGAGGGTGTGTTTGTGGCTGGTTGTTGCAATGTGTGTGTGATCATACTAATTGGTGTCACGATGTGTAATGTTTGGTCGCACGGTCACTCCCCCCCCCCTCCTCACTCAAGTGTGGCTATTTGTGATAGGGAGATGAATTTGATACCATCCTTAATAAATTATCTACGAAACATTTCCAATAAGATATCTTTAAACAAAATATTTCTATATGATATAGTGATGGGAATCCCATTCTTTTATATACCCTGTATATATATAAAAAAAAAGTAAGAAATGTTGATACCGTAGTCAGTAAAATCGGTTCTAATTTCGTTACACACTATTTTGTTTGTTTTTTTAATAAAAACAATCCTGAATACTTTATCTAAAAGTTTGTTTAAATAAATAAATAAATTAAAAAAAGCTCAATCTGATACGGGCATGAACAGAACTGTTTCTTTTATCTTCACCACTGATCGGCTCGTTAGTCGCTTGGGCAATCGTCACGTCTCTGTTACACACTTTACTCAATTGACTGTAATACATAACTAATCATGTCTTAACACTTGCGATGAAGATTGGGTGGGAGATTATTGGGTCACGTTACTAACCTGACCCAGTGTTGGGTGGGGGATTAGTGGGTCTTATGACCTGAATGTCTTGAATGACAATATTTTTTACCTATGAGGTATATTCATATTACTATACTGTATTGTATATGAAGGTTACATATATTAATAAACACAGACTATTACAGTACAGTGGTCCCTCGGTTAACGAAAGGTTCGATTAACGAAATTTCAGTTAACGAATTAGCTCCCATAAGGATTTTCAGTTCGATTAACAAAATCCTTTCGACAAACACGTTTTGTTGTGCGCATCAGCTTATCAGCCAGTCCACCACTACACGATCTTTCACAGAAGAAAAAACTTACCTCCAAACTTGAACCCCCTGTACCTTGGTAACATAGTCCTCAAACGCGAACAAAATACTAAATTCCTCGGAGTTATTGTTGATGAGAAACTTAACTGGAGAAACCACATACAGTGGTAGCGGAAAGTTTGGGCGCAAAATTACAGGAGCCCAAACTTTCCGCTATTATCAAAACATACGATAAATACCAATTTCCGCTCAAACTTTTCGCTATATTTCAATGCTAGGGTTTGTACCGCTATTTAGGCGAGACAATACGCACTACTTGGCAACTCTGATTAGTCGCTTCAGTGAGCACATGGGTGCAGTGTGTAAACTTCTCTCACGCGGACTAGTCGTTTTTTTGCGTTTTGTTCTGTGTTTTTGCCTCAATATCTCTGTAATGGGAAGTGGTACAGAGCTGGGAAGAGACACAATTGTTGCTATTATAACCCTCTATAAGGAGGGTTATAAGTGTAAAGATATAGCCACTCGTGTGGGAATAGGAGTGCGCCAAGTTCAAAAGTGGATCAAGAAATTTAGAGACGGCGGAGGTGAGGATATTCCTACCCCCAAGCCTCGCTCTGGTAGGCCAAGGAAAATACAAAATCGTACTTCCAAGGTTATAAAGAGGCAGTTGGATAAAAATCCAACACTCACAGCTCGAAAACTGAAGGAAAATAACCCTGCACTGGTCCAGGACGTGTCTGTAAGATGTATTTCTGATCATTTACTCAAAGATTTACAATATCGCAGTTGTTGTGCTAAAGTTCTTCCCCTCTTAAGTGCAAAAAATGTACGGGATCGCATTGCTTTTAGCAAGAAATATAAGGATTGGACCCTAGAAGACTGGGAACAAGTCTTGTGGAGTGATGAGTCAATGTTTGTGGTGTCATCTGGCTGCAGGTCCAAGCGTGTCAGGCGTCCCAAAGGATCGGACCCAAATGACCCCCGCTACACAGCTAAAGTTGTAAAGCATGCTCCAAGTGTTATGGTGTGGGGATGCTTTGCATTTGGTGGAGTTGGCAATTTAGTATTTTTTGAAAAAAATGAGTGTAAATCAGCACAGTTATTTCGAGTTATTGTGTGATAACCTGCCTGAAAGCTTTGAAAAGTGTAACGCTAGCTGGTTTATGCAAGATGGAGCTCCTGCTCACACAGCTCGATCTATTATCCAGTGGTTAGAGGACTGTGGTGTAGATTACTTCAAAAAGTGGCCTGGGAATTCACCAGACCTAAATCCCATAGAGCACGTGTGGCATATCATTAAAAAAGAGCTTCAGGATCGTGACGCTTCGACAGTAGCGAAGCTAAAAATAGAAATACAGGATATTTGGGATAATATCATTCCCCAACACGTAGAAAAACTGGCAAGATGCATCCCACAACGTTTGGAGAAGGTCATCAAGCTTAGAGGAAAATCGCTTGGCAAATAAGGTACGTCATGAGCCCTTTAAATATCTATTTAAATGTCACAATTGTTTACATTCGTCTTGCGCCCAAACTTTCTGCTACCACTGTACAAGCAATTCACAGTAAAATCAATAAACAGTGCGGTATCATGTATCACACTCGACAGTCACTCACTCTCACAGCAATCAAAGAAATCTATCATGATCTTGTTTACCAACACCTGATACACTGTCACACACTATGGGGGGCCTCTGGCTCTTCAAAAACACAATCTCTGGTTACTGCACAAAAGAGAGTTGTATGGACAAAAACCTACTTGAAAAAAACAGATAACACAAACGAAAAATTTGCTATATTGAAATTTTTAAAATTCGAAGATATTAACACTTACTGCTGTGCCCTCTTTGTTTACAAATCTATCAATCACTTGCTTGGCAATAATTACTTCCAGTTCCGGAATAATAAGAGATACAACTTAAGGCACCCAGAGCTACTAAGACCACCCCCATGCGCTCCTCTCAGTCCCAGACCTCCATAAAATATCATGGTGTGAAGGTATGGAACAACTTACCCCCACCCATCCGAGCAAAGACTATGCTCCCTTCATTTAAATCATCTCTAAAAAAATATCTATTGTCGAAGTATTAATATTTCTTGTAACACTTAATATAGTTACAGTATGTACCTGCTTTTATTGTACCACCAAATCCGTTTTATCGGAAATTATCATGTAAATAAATAAGTAATTACCATTGCAATAAACATAATTGCCAACTAGACATAATCCTGAAAGCTCTGTCCTCTTGTACTGCTCCCCCATTATACTTATGTTTTTAAATTCCACTCTAATTTATATGTATATGTATATGTGTATGTATGTGTGTGTGTGTGTGTGTGTATATATATATATATATATATATATATATATATATATATATATA